GGGATCCATTCGACGACTGGGCAGGCGGCGCTGGCAACGAGGCAGACGTTGACCCGGCCAACAAGGAAGACGATCGTCTAACAGGCGACAGAACAGACACGTCCGCTCCGTTGATGCTGCTTTCTTCACGAAAACGTTCGCCGTCAGGGCTGTATTCGGTCACAGCAGGCTGCCCTGGTTCGCCTGTGTGACCGACTAGTTTTCCGATTGCCTTGTGTGTCCCTGGCGATCTGATCGAACTGTACGGACGGGGGATGGTGATCGAGAACTGTCGCCACTTGCAGAACGAGTCTCCGATCGAGCACCAGCTCCAGGTCGCCTCCGGGCGCGTGAAGCGGACCCGCTCTGACGGAGCTGTGAACCTTCCGCACCTCCCTCCCGTCGGCTTGGATTCCGTGTAAATGAACGTGATTCGCAGTCTCGAACTAGATGATCTGAGCTTCCACAAGCAAAGCACAGACCAAGCTTCTGTCGACAGATGTCCTCAGCATGTCCACGACGGCCACAGAAACTGCAGAACGCCCGCGATCTGTCACTGCTTTTTCCTCTGGCCATGGATTGTTCAGACCTTGATTCGCGTTGAAGGCTTCTATGAACACTTTCATTCCGCTGCTTCTCACTTCGTCGCCGAGTGCCGGACTCATCATGCGTGTTCCTCTGAGAACGGCGAGCAGTTCGATCCACTGCCATCCCCGGTCTCTCAGGTGCTCTTCCTCGTGGCGGTTCTTCCATTGCGGCCAGTACCGTGGAGTCTAATCCCGCTACTGTGTGCTTCTTACACTGAAGAATCGTCAGGTAATGATCCCATAGCAGCGTCTTGCCGTGGATAGCCCTGTTATATCTGATGTCCAGTTTCAGCTGTTCCCGGATAACAGGTGGCAGGCTCTGGAAAAGTCGGTCTCGTAGAAGCTCAGACGATTGGACGTCCTCACCAGGAAAGGCGTCTTCGAAAAGAGAAGACAGTCGGAGGGCAAAGAGCGCAAGGTCCTCTCCTGGTCCTGGTTTCGCATTGTCGAAACGAATTCGAGTACTCTGCTGTGTGTGGTCAGTTTGGACAGCCACCCAACGTAGCATACGTTCCTTCAGTTTTGCATACGTGGTTTCGGTCCCTCCGCAAGCCGAGAACACTTCGGCCACTTCACCGACCAAGAGAGACTGCAGAAGCGGAAGAGCTTCGTCCAGAGTTCCGGAATACGTGCGTGAGCAGTGATCTTCAAATCGTTGGAAGTACTGGTTCAGACTTGTAGTACCACCCAGACCAAAAGTCGGAATGGTGAACGTCTGCTGAAGAAGGAATCCCCCAGACGATCCCTCACCAGGCCGACTCCCCGGAGGTCTTGACTGATCCCGCATGGGCTGCTCCGCATGGGTCGCTTCCGGGACATGAACAAGTTGCTCTTCAGTTCGGCTTGCCGCTGGTAACCGAGATGTATCCCGAGTGGGTGCGACTGACGTTCGCTCTGCCAGCAGTTCGCTCAGTTCGTTGATGCGCCCGAGTGCCTCCTGCAGTTGTAGCTCAAGTTGAGCAACACGCTCCTCCGGCTCAGCCATCTCGTTCTGACTCACCGTAGTAGCCGCAAGAGACGCGGTGAATCAATGTAGGAATCCAATCGACGATGGGCAGGCGATGTCCCAGTCGATGACCGGGCAGGCGGCAGACAGGCCGACGACGGTGCAGACGGGATCCGATCGACGGGGCAGGCGGTGCCCCGGCCGACGACGGTGCCGACGGGATCCAATCGACGATGGGCAGGCGATGTCCCAGCCGATGACCGGGCAGGCGGCACACAGGCCGACGACGGTGCAGACGGGATCCGATCGACGGGGCAGGCGGTGCCCCGGCCGACGACGGTGCCGACGGGATCCGATCGACGATGAGCAGACGACGTGTAGACGGGATCCGATCGACGGGGCAGGCGGTGCCCCAGCCGACGACGGTGCCGACGGGATCCAATCGACGGTGAGCAGGCAATGTGCAGACGGGATCCGATCGACGGGGCAGGCGGTGCCCCAGCCGACGACGGTGCCGACGGGATCCAATCGACGATGGGTAGGCGATGTCCCAGCCGATGACCGGGCAGGCGGCACACAGGCCGACGACGGTGCAGACGGGATCCGATCGACGGGGCAGGCGGTGCCCCGGTCGACGACGGTGCCGACGGGATCCGATCGACGATGAGCAGACGATGTGCAGACGGGATCCGATGGACGGGGCAGGCGGTGCCCCGGCCGACGACGGTGCCGACGGGATCCGATCGACGATGAGCAGGCGATGTGCAGACGGGATCCGATCGACGGGGCAGGCGGTGACCCGGCCGACGACGGTGCCGACGGGATCTGATCGACGATGAGCAGGCGATGTGAAGACGGGATCCGATCGACGGGGCACGCGGTGCCGCGGCCGACGACGGTGCCGACGGGATCCGATCGACGATGAGCAGGCGATGTGCAGACGGGATCCGATCGACGGGGCAGGCGGTGCCGCGGCCGACGACCGGGCAGACGGGCAGACTGTGGATCGGCCGACAACAGGGCAGACGGGATCCAGCCGACGACGGGACGGACAGGATCCGGGTGATGACGAAGGCGACAGGACCCTGCCGACAACGGCGTAGACGGACTAAGCAATGTATATACCACAATGTCTGAATAGTGCCATGTTTGGATAGCTGGATTTGGTCCTAGCCCCGGCTGCGTGTTTATGGAAGTACGGGTAATAAATATGGCAAATTTCCCGAATGCGATTACCGTAACCAGCAAATACAATTGACCTATGAGAATGAGACACACCGGCTAACCTATAATTATCAGCAGCGTACGATCCACACTTTTCGAACACACTCACACAAACACAGGGCTGATCACGCCTAATTCCGTCGTTATTTGGGCCATACAAGTGTCACAGACCGCAAAATATGGTGAAATATTTCAACCATACAAATAAATCAGTTTGCACGCGGTCTAGATGCAGTGATGCACAAAAGTTCGCGCCCTGCAATCGGTACCAGGTACTCACCGGTGCGGCAGATTTGAGCACTCACGCCAAGTAGAGTCGCCAGATTCGGTCGGCACAAGTACGGCTGGTGCAGGTACGGTCAGCGGGCGAGTCAGGTGCAGTCCGTGTAGAGACGGATACCGGCGGCAGGCACGGTCCACGTCGAGACAGGCACGGTCCGCGCCGAAACGGGCACCGGCGGCAGGCACGGTCCGCGTCGACACAGGCACCGGCGGTAGGCACGGTCGTGTAGAGACGAACTCCGGCGGCAGGCACGGTCCGTGTCGACACAGGCACCGGCGACAGGCACGGCTCACGTCGAGACAGGAACGCTCGAGAAAAGACGGGCACCGGCGGCAGGCACGGTCCGTGTCGAGACGGGCACCGGCGGCAGGCACGGTCCGCGTCGAGACGGGCACCGGCGGCAGGCACGGTCCGCGTCGAGACCGGCACCGGCGGCAGGCACGGTCCGCGTCGAGACAGGCACGGTCGTGTAGAGACGGGCACCGGCGGCAGGCACGGTCCGCGTCGAGACAGGCACCGGCACGGTCGTGTAGAGACGGACTCCGGCGGCAGGCACGGTCCGTGTCGACACAGGCACCGGCGACAGGCACGGCTCACGTCGAGACAGGAACGCTCGAGAAAAGACGGGCACCGGCGGCAGGCACGGTCCGTGTCGAGACTCCGGCGGCAGGCACGGTCCGCGTCGAGACAGGCACCAGCGGCACGGCAGGCACCGACTACAGGCACGGCTGGTGCAGCGCAGAGACAGCCATCACCGGCACCGTGCGGTGCTGATAGTCACTTTGAATTAGTCACTGATAATTGTTACTGAATCACTGGCGCTATCAAAATCGCATAGGACGAGCCCCCAATGTTAGCGGAGCGCCGCCAGAGTCAACATAAAGTTCTTGAAAAAGGCACACTGTATTTTCACCGCTTGTGAGCACTCGGACACGAAAACCGCACGACCGTCACGCTCCGGCTCCGTCCCCGAATGCCCGCCCTCCCGCCGGCCGCCGCAGTCAGCGGTCAGCCGGTGCCCCGCGGCGGTAACCTCCGCAGGGGCGAGGTCAGGCTCCGGCGGAGGGCAGGGCGCCCGCAGGGGCGAGGTCAGGTCAGCCCCGACTCGACTCGGACACCGCAGCGACGCGGTGTAACATAAACGCACATACGGGTACACCGCGGAGACGATTCACTAGCGGTCACACGCGACCGACCGTTAGTCGCTCAATCACGGCGGACCGACCGACTGACCAACGGAGCGACGGGCGCAGATGGGCGTCCGACCGTCGGTCACCGCGCACCCGGCGAGTGTAGCGCGGCGGTGGCACACGTGTCGGTGGACGCCCGCAGACTAATAGCGCCGGACGCCTGATGAGCTCCGCCCACCGACCACCGCTCCGGTTGAATATTGAGCTGGTCACCATCCACTACCCAGTACCCACCGTATGTCACCCAGGTCTACATGCCCAACCAGTCATCAGCGATCCCTTTCAAACGTCCGTCTACCACCTATCGCTCGCCAAACACCGTTCACTATCCGTCTCGTCAGGCTGCCGATCCCCGTTCATCCTCCACCGTTCACTGGTCACGTTTGTTGTCCAATCTGTCCGCCGTCCATCGCCCACCACCGTTCACCATAACCCAATCATCACCGCTAGGCGCACCCAGCAGCCAGCGGACAGTTAGACCGACACCGCGGATAATTGTCACTAATTACTGCGGTCGATAGAAAAACAGACAACCACACAGACGGGCTTAAAAAGTCCGACCGCTCGGCAAGCACTAAGCAATAAGCATTTCTATTGTGGTCAGATGCATAGAAATGTAAGCATTACAGTAAAAAAAAAAACAATCAATAAAAAATTATATAATTGAAAAAATTATCTAGATGCTATAATGCATGACATAAATGATTCAATTCACAGCGCAGATGACACTCCAGGGCCTTTCCTTTAACACATAGTACCACCGTCAATCCCAAGAGATGTATAGTTCTTACCTGCAGCAGAGTGGCTCGCCGCAGTCGGCGTCCGTGCCCTCCTTGTAGTACGGGTCAAAGTGAGTGTCGGAGATGTGCAGAACACGTGCGGTAGGCGCCTCCGGCTGCCGGGCGGAAGACGTAGGGTATGTGAGTCTCTGCACATCCGCGACTCGTGAGTTGGACTCGAATGACAAAGCGTAACACAGTTAGGTAAAGAAGCCATATCAGTGTTCCGATGAAACAATAGAAACTAATGCTTGGCCAGGAGTACCACTCGAATGCCTCAGTCAGTCACGAGCGCAAAGGAAATTGACGCTGAATTCCCACCGAGTGGGAGCCAAGACAAATACCAGCGCTGTTTGGATAGCCAGCTCAGCACGTTTAACATGTAACACCGCAGGTTCAAGAAGTTTGGGAGTTTAGAAAGAGACCTTTGCAGTTTTTTTTTTCAATTCTGAAGATGAGGCTCGGTTCCGGTGAGCGTAACTAGTTCGGTTCATACATTTAGTTCACCCCATCGATGTTTTGAGCACGACATCAATCGCGAAAAGTGGACTGACAAATACAAGCATTGGAATACCTAAGCTTGATAAAACAAGCACATATTTATCTTTAATGAGAGCGAGTGGTCACGTAACAACTTGTTAACCGTTTTACAGCATACCTATAACGTAGTATGAGCTCACATACGGGCTTAACCACCACAATTCAGTTGCGTTCAGTTGGAGTACTCACGTCTGGCTCGGGTGTGGGCGTGTACGGCTTGGGTATGCTGGGTAGCGGTACGGTCCACTCGTGCCACGGGTTGAAGGGCGTGGCACACACGTCGCCCACCACCATGCCGCACACCTCGTCGGGCGAGAGCGCGATCCGCTGGAACACAAATATCACCTCGTCCTGCCGGGAGAGACAGACGGAGACGCTGTTAGAGGCAGCGCTCTGCGCTGTAGGTCGACTCGAGAGAGGGCTATCGGCGTGACTCCTCGACAAACTATGAGCCTTCCTGTCGACAATCGACAGATCAGGGAAACTTCCTGTTTGAGTCAAAGTGTGAACATTAGATCTAATTTCACAAATAACAAGCCAACGTATGCACATTTTCAACACCAACACCACAAACCAGACGTAGACGGTAGAGTTACGGTGAATTCATTCATTCAACCCGTCTGTATATGTGCGTGAAGTGAATATCTGTCGTCCGGTCATCGGGCCGTCACTTTCCCCGTCCGCCTGCCACGGGCGGGAGGCAACAGACGGCCGGCCGGACGGCGACCCACATTGGCCCCGGCTGAGTTCGTGTCACACGTTGCACGTTTGCCCGGCGTCAGACGAAGGTAGCCGGCCGGGAAATGCTACCGTCTGATCGAGTGGCCCAGGTCACGGTACTTGCAGACGTATGCGGGATGACAGACGCAGTCTGGGATGCAGTAAAAAGGCAGACGGTCACGGGTGGTGGAGACTGATTGCAAAGAGTCTGTTCCCGTGACGCCGAACGGGAAGTGTTGAGAGGAGATTGAAATCGGCACTTACGACGTACTAGAGTGGCGACGGGAATGCACAATAAGATTGATATCAGCAATCTACTCAATATGGATTATGGTATCACTCACGAGACGATGGAAGTAACTGCAGACACAAACGTGTTGTTGATCTAGGCAAATTGGCGGTTTTGCTAAGTGAGATTTCAAATCTCTTCCCGCTTGACCTAGCTTTGATGGAAGCAGGATGGATGGGTTTAGGAGGAAGGTGGATGCGAATTAGGGTCGCCATGGAACCAATTTTACGAGTGTGTGGCAATCGGAACACATCAGAATTCTTGGAGGAGATGAGGGCTGTGAGAAAACACCATGGGAACAGACCTATGGTTGCCAGTTTCTATGCCCAGCGGTGTGTATTCCAAAACAGGCGGAGCCGCAAAACTATTGTGAATAATTCCTCAAAATATGAAGGCATTCATCATTTTTAATCCCTTGCCGACTCACTAGCTCATGTCCCAACAAAAGGTGTTTGCAGGCGAACCTACGTAACCCTAATCCTCCTTCACCCCATTTTAATCCCGCCTCCCCTCGTTTTAGCCTTTCATCTCTCCCCTGGCTCAACGGCGGACCACAGACCAGCTGCTGCCGCGGCCAGCGGGAGTACGGGACCCGCCGGACGACGCTGCGGTGCGGTAAGGTGCGCCATGCTCGGTCAGGCGTGTGATCCGCCGGCGCGACTCGGACGCGCAGAGAGGCGACTGATAGTGACCGTCAGGGCCGCTAAATGGCAGAGGGGCGAGTGAGACGGGACAAATGGACGGACTCGGGGGGAAGAAGTACACATCCGAGGTGTGGAGAGATGAGAGGGAAACGGATACCGGGAGAAGGAAGACACAGGGAAAGAGGACGGACTTCGGGAGTGCTAAGAAAATAACATTAGGAGACAGAGGGCACAGTGTGACTGAGATACTGAGACGGGTATCCACATGAAATTAGGGTTAGCGTACAGGGGGTAGGGAGACTGAGCGAATAAAACGGTCGAGAACGGAGGAAAAAAGTAAACGCTCACTGTCGCTTACCGAAATTTCCTGCTGCGTGAACCCGAAAGAACTTCTTTACTAATGCATCTTAAGCTGGCGTCACGGTTGAAAGCGAGGGGAAACCGTCTCTCAAAGCTGAAGTTGAAGCGGAACGAATCCCTCAAAACTAACCGGTGTCAACTGTCGACGGAGAGAGATACAGCAGACATATCGCACCAGACATGGAAAGTGGCTAAAGAACGAGAACCTATGTCAAACAAGACGAGAACCAGCCAAACCGCTTTGGATGACATCTCGACAGTGCTGGACATATAATGCTGCCTGGCGTCTAAAAAGTAGGTAAGTCTAGTAATCTTATTCTACGCATGTTGTCACAAGCTTTTAGGCTTAATATTTCATCTGTCGAACATTGCCATTTGCCATCATCGACTATGATTTTCCTGCAATATCAAAAACGCAATCAGAATAAAGAAGTTGACGAACTGGAACGCGAGTTGACAAGAAAAGTCACTAAAATACTCGACAGCAGCTGCGCCGGAGCATCTGAATCGTCATGAATGACCGGTTCGCGTTCTCTCTCGCATCCGATTTAACATCGTCGAGTGACAAATGTCCCTGGGGAAGACAGGCCACCAGTCCTTCCAGACGAGAGTCATGTGGGTAGGTACAGGTTTAACCGGCCAGTTGGGTAGGGAAAACTCCGCTCCTGGCGCGGCGCAGGAGAAAAGGAGGTCCCGCTGCGAGCGACACCGCCGCCCGCACCGGGGGAACAGCGGGACTTGTTTGGGAGGTGCTCCTGTGACCCGGATACGGCAGAGAGGAGGCGACCACAGGGGCCCGCCGGCGCTGCACATGATGGAGTGCGCAGCGTCCACACCAGATTACAGGACAAAAGATCAGCGGGCCCGCCCGACGACCTCACAACACGCCCCGTCGCAGCGGTGCGATCAAGATCCAAGAAACTGTGATAGCCAGGACCAAGGAGCCAGTGATAACCAGATATGATGTGTTTTATGTGGCGTATTCAGTGGTTATCTTCTCGCATCATCGCCCCTGCATGCCTGACGAACGTTTGTTGAGCGATAGTCCACGCAAGCCTGGCATGACAGCGTAGCTTATGTGGACTGTCAGAGAAGGGAAATTGTGATCTGGGCGTTTAGGTAAGAGTACGAATTAGTTACAAAAGGCCTCCAAAAAAACAAGCCCATTTTGATTAGAGGTCTACTCTAATCTCAATATTGTACCTATTCAAAAAAAACATTGTTAGAAATGCAGAAATGACATCGCTTGTAAGGTTTACCTTCAAAGCCAACTGCGTTACCTCGGATGACGGTTTGAACGGTTTGAACTAATGGACATAATTGCAGGTGACTCAAAACAGAAATTACACGCTCTCTATGACAATGAGCGCCACAATTCACCTGCGTTTCTCTTTCCGCCTCCGAGCGTCTCATAAAGAGTAAAATGTGTTTTTGTTGAACTAATGAAAGTGAATGTGACTTCCAATGGTCCGTTTAACGGGTCGTGCCCCAAACGACCGATAATTACTGGACAGAGGAGGGATCCGGACGGCACTAATCGGCGGTGAACAATGATCGCTCTCTCCCAAAGATGTTCGCCAGCTGCTGGCAGATACCCAAAAACTCCATCGGCACGACAAATGCTTTAGATCATAACGTTCAAAGCATTCAGTTGGCGCACCCTATGTCAGCTCTCTTCTCTCCTCATTTTCTCTCTTTCTTTTCCTCTCTCCCTCCCTCCCTCCCTCCCTCCCTCCCTCCCTCCCTCTCTCTCTCTCTCTCTCTCTCTCTCTCTCTCTCTCTCTCTCTCTCTCTCTCTCTCTCTCTCTCTCTCTCTCTCTGTCTGTCTGTCTCTCTCTCTCTCTCTCTCTCTCTCTCTCTCTCTCTCTCTCTCTCTCTCTCTCTCTCTCTCTCTCTCTCTCTCTCTCTCTCTCTCTCTCTCTCTCTCTCTCTCTCTCTCTCTCTCTCTCTCTCTCTCTCTCTCTCGTTTCTCTTCTCCCTATCTCTCCTTGCTACCCTCCTTCGCTCTCCTCTCCCTCTCTTTCATTGGTTTTAGCTCGCCCGTACCCTCGGGTACCGAGTCCGGTCTCTCCTACCACCACGGTCACGAGTGAAAGAGAAGCTCGGCGTAGTGTAGCGGTCATCAGCGAAACTCACCTCTAAATTGACCTCTAACCTCCGCACAGCCTCTAGCAGGGAAACACTGGCATTCCTCCATCTGACTACACCCGTGAGACCAGCATGAGTCCGCGTGTGGAACGTTGCTCCGCGCCGTCTTCCGACCCTTTTTAATTTGTTTGACACCATCGATCTCAACATGTAGTGCCTCATCTGATCTCATTAAACCTACGCCGACCCCCAGCGGGCTGTCGCTGTCCAGAGCAGCCACCACGGGCCTGACGCCTCCGTATCATTAGCGGCCAAAGCACGCGCCCTCCGCATTCCTCCACGGCTTTCTTCCCGCAGCCCTGGTTTCACTCTTCCTCTCTCAGTGTCGGGTCGCCGCGGCCACGCCCTCGACTCAAAGATCGCCGCCACTGGGAGTCTGGAGGCGCCGGGCGCCGCGAGCTCCAGCGAAAGTGCGCCGCGCTCAGAGTAGAACCCGCACTCACGGCAGACGGCCCGGCGCCGGGCGCCGACGCAGCGGGCACGCCGATCGGCCCGGGACGATGGACGATAACGGGCCACAGCAGGAATGGAGAGCCGTTTCACTGATGGATCGTGGCGGTCCTTTGGAGATGAATTACGTCCATCGTGAGTGGACAAAAAGAGGCACCGGAGCTAACCCAGGCGAGTGGTGCGGAAGGCGAGTGACCCAGCGGCGACGGACTGGGCGCTTCTGTGTAGTGTGCATTACGTGGTATAAGGGACATGTTTCAGCCAAGAGAAGCATGCAGTGTGTAGCTTGAATGAATAAATGAATGAGTAAATGTTCATTATTCGTCAATCAATCACTCAAACAATCAATCGATTAATCGGACAGTCAATGAAACTATTCACTCAATGCGCGTTTTCACACAAATACTTCTTCAATTCCGTACAGACAGAGTACGTTAGAACCGGTCAGGAAGCGTTTGCTTACCGCGAACAGGTGAATGATGCCCTCGCAGACCCGCGGACTCTCAAACTGAAGGCTACGGCAGAGTTTGACGGCGGCGCGCACGATCTCGCCCTTGGAGCGACCCGTGGAGACGTAGTGCTGCAGCAGTCCCACGCCTGGAACGAGGCACCAATAAGGTCAGAAGGGCGCAGGGAGGAGAGCTGTCTCACGGAGGGGGCCCCGAGTCTCACGGCTGTGCATGGTCATCGTGGTGAGATTGTAAGCACGGCGGCTACAGTGAAAACGGACACGTCGCGAGTCGAAATGCAAGCATGCAAGGAACGGGAGTCAGCGGCTACACTGGATGGTGAGGTGTACAAATATGCAAACTTGTGTACTGACATGTCACTTTCTGCATACGGAAGCAGGGTTCTGTCTTAGCTCGATCAACACCTTTCGCCGCCAGTTGAGAGCCGGCGACATAAGAGCAGTGATGAGTGACCTCATCACAAACAATATTATTCCGCTTGAGATTAGCATAAATTATTTTCTAGCGTTACAATCAAGAACACATTACATAAATCAACATTTATTCATTTTTATTTGCCCGTTCCCATTTCGACCGTGGGACCGATCATGGTTGCCCATGAACAGTCAGCAGCAGTAAAGCCCGCAAACAACTGCCACGGGTCGTGCAGGGAGGCAAGTGAAAGTGATCATCGGCACCCGCTGTAACCTCGGTGGCCAGTGTTGGCGATCTGCCGACCGGGAGAAACCTGGCGCGGTCACCAGTTCCTGCCGACCGGCGCTCTCATGGACTGCAGGAGGGCGGCGTGGCTCCCAGGCTGCCTTGACAAGGTTATAACAGCATGGGTGACACAAATTCGTAGATGAGTACCTAAAAAGTATGTACGCAGTCGATGAAATATCGCAGAATAGCATGGCGTATCCACGCGACCTGGGACACTGGTTCCGTGCCTTTACGCGTGACCTGAGAAAAGTCGGTGACTCCGTGTCAGTCTAGAAGTAAGCTATGTTTGTCTTCCTCTCCTGGCTGACAGATACACCCATCGCACCTACAAACTTACACATTGTCTATTTGCATTCCCGATATCCCTATTTACTCTCACCAGCGAGCCCGCCTACATAGGTGTGCCATTTAACATTCACACCACCCAGGCGTCAGACTGCGTGTCTGACGGCGGTGCGAGTCTACGAGGTGTTAGGAGACGAGGCTAAATCTTCAAATCTAAAAAGTATCAAGCCTCGGAACTGAGGCGTGAGACCTCTGAAACTAAGGTCTAAGGCCTCGAAAATGATGCGTCACAGTTTCACGCTCGGGTGTCAGACCTCGAAATAAAGTATCGCCTCTCCTTCTTACGACTCCCGGCCACATAACTGAGGCACCAGGCCAGCCACGCCATGAGCGCGATGGTCCATGTGATACCACCCGGCGTCTCCGCCATCAGCCCCTCCGTCACGGCCGGCGCCGGCTCGTGACGCCTCCGACCGCACCGCGTCACGGCCGCGTGACGTTACGACACGGCCGCGTGACGTCACGGTGCGAGCTCCGTGACGACGCATCACCGGTGGAGAGGCGCGCCGGCTCACGGCGGGGAGCTGACCCAGTCTCCGTCGGCGTCAGGAAGGTCAACAGCGTAACTGGGACGTGGGAGCGGATAATCGGAAGACGATGGTGCTAGTACGATCGAGTAACGGGAGTTGATGGGTGCAAACGTTTGAAGTCATTTGTGGAGAACTGGAGCTGATTGCGATCCACCTAAAGAAACCGAGAAACACCTAGGAATCGACGATGAACGTAAGTAGCGATTAGGATACAAAAATAGCCGGCAGTTGAGTCTGAAGATGAAACCTTATTTTCTTTGAGACAGTACCTCTTAGTTCCTCAGGCACCGGCAGCGGACAGTCGAAGAGAAACTGCCAATTACGGGCTGCGATCGGTGGCGCCTGGGCACGCCGGACCGAGTGGGGGCAATGAAGGATCACGGAACTGGGTTACACGCGGCCGATCGTGTCACTCCGAGGAGAGCGCTACCGGGCGGCGCCGGCTCTACTGTGTCGGAGCTGTTCCGACTGTCTGGACTCGGGGTATCCGATGCTCGCTTTATTCCTGTGTGTGTCTTGTCCACTGAGCTGTCCGTTGTATTCGCTCCGTCACCTGCCTTCCGCGTCCAAGCGATCCGTCTGTTGAGTGTCCAACTGTTCGACTGTCTATCTAGCCAGTCATAACGGCCAAGACAATTATTCGTCTCCAGCTGTGCAGCCCGCCGACCGACTCTGTTGACAGGCGATTGCCTGATTATTACTCCAGCTCCAACGATATTCACCAAACATCCGCCTCGTCTCACGGAGTAGCCGTCATTTCACGCAGTGTGACTCCAAATGGTGGCCGTGAGAAGGCCGGCTGAGGAGGGGTACAGCCTGTTTTCCGGCGGCGGACACAGCTGGCTATGAAAGGATGACGGGAAGATTGATGAGTTTCCATGCCAGAGCACCGCACAGATAGGCTTGAATAGTTGGAGAGTGGGCGAGAACATCTATATAGAACTGGTCGTGAGTGCGTCTGTTTTTCTCGAATTAGTGAGATTTGTGAGAGCTGGTCAAAATCGAAAATACACAAACGGTCCTTGCTAACAGTCAGGCTATCACTAATCAGTGATTACCTATCATATCCGTCGGCCAGCTGACCTAGGGAGCTGGAGTGGAACAAAGCAGGACACGGTGTGAATGACAAAGCCGCAATCACGCATGAGATGGCCTTTTTGGTCGAGACTGTGGCCGGTAAGCCGGGACGATAGTCGTCGTAAAAGCTGGTCATGAACATAGTCTTTAGGGTCGAGTCGTAGCCAAGCACCAGTCACCGAGCCATCTGCGATTGCCAGCAACGAGACCATGCTGGGAGCTACAGTGCAGGGAAGAATAGCAGAGAGAAAGAGAGCGAAGAGTCAAACTGAGTGGGGACGGCATACTCGCAAAACTGAGGCCGACTTTGTGGATTCAAAAGCGGAGCAGAAGCTGTCACAGAAGCTAGATAATTTTGCCATGGAGAACAAACCGCAGCAGTCGTAAATGTGCAACTGCACGTCAATACCGTGAAAATTAGGACAAGCAACAACTGTAACGGCACCATGGAATGTTAGATATAAAATAAGCTTCTAAAACGTTTGTCGCTAATTGGCTAGCCGCAAGTGCTCGTAATATGCCTAAGTGCTTATGCATGGATCATTCTTCAATATTCTGCATGTCAATGAAATACATTTATAAAACAACCAAATGCTATAATAGCCTGTCTCAGTTGTCGAGACGTTCGTTCCCGTGACGTCATCACATCGTTAGTGGCCGACATGACTGCGATATGCGTAACACCTCCAAAGGATAGGGCTGAGGAAGGGTGTCCGCTATCACCGCATCAGAACGTGACACTAACGTCGGAGAACCGCAACGACGGGTCATAAGGGGAGTGAATTGCAAAAACGACATATAGGTACTCTCAGGCACAGGAATACATTTACCATCAGAAAAGTAAGCATTCAACAGCGTCAACTCTTCATCATTAGAAACTTTTGGGATATCATAGTCACCAAAAACACTTAACTATCAGTTTTCGGTGTCTTATTTAGTCAGTCAACAACCACCCTGCACGATCACCGTTCCACGGTTACTCCCCTAGTCCGACCGTGACGGTAGGAACGGAGAACCCGCTCCTGCCGGCACCAGTGTGAAGCCGCGTGTGACTGCGCCGACTCCGTGCCAACCGGCGCCGCACGGGGCACGGGGCGTCACGTGCAGCGCGGACACGCCGCGGGGCGGTCCCACCGTGCGCCGCACGGAATTTAGGGGGCGTCCGGCCCGCACATTAGCCGGCTATTGTCTGCCGGTTTTTATCGGCGTGTTGGTGTTACGCTGGTGAGATGCCGCGACTTACATGGCAGTTGAGACGTAACAATGTGGCCAGATGCCGGAACGGCGCGGTACTGATAGCTGAAAACAACGGCGGTCGGGCGGCCATGTGTCGCCACAGTCTTACTTAGGAAAAGGGCCGCTTAACCCGCGCCCGGCTGGGGGTCCTGGTTTTCCACGCCCTGCTGGGGGGGGGGGGGGTTTGAACACCCCCCTTGTAACTCGGCTCCTGGGCCACGTAGCGATACGCGGAAGGCGGCGTTCGAAAGAGCGTCAAAAATAATGACGAAATCACTTCGGTCAATTTTTTGGTCAGGTCAAAGGTTAGGTCACCAGAGGTCATTTAAGGCAAAATTTCGCCGATTTCCAGGTCTAATATCGAAAATTTCCAAGAAGCCAACGCATAACTCGGGAACCAATAGAGCTACAGCGCTGCGGAAAAGCGCATTCGATAGCCCTATTAACGCCCTTTCTGAGTAATTCTCTCAGATTTGACCTAGCGTCAACGGTTTTGCCTGCAGGGGGCAAAAACTGCAAAAATAGCCGATTTTTTTCGGAAACAGTTTTTCGGCAATAACTTTTGACCCAAGCCTTGTACGAGCTTACTTTTACCGGCATCGTGTTCCTCTCGTCTAGACGCATCGAATGAACTATAACTTGACCTTGAAAGGTCAATTTGAAAATTTGTCCTCAGGTCAAGGTCATGACCTGACCGGAAAAGGTCATGTTGCATATCAGTCGATCCGTATCGTCGAGCTGAACACATCTAAGGCGTTTTCATCGCTCTAGCATGCCTCTATCAAAAGTTATTTGCGAAAAACTGTTAGATACCATTCGTGACCTAAGATGACCTCAGGGCATAAACAAGGGTCACGGACACTATTTTCATGTTCAGTGTGTCTAAACCACTTGTAATTCAGTGTTTGGGAGTGTTTATAATGTCTTTCGTCCAAAAGAGGCGCATTTCAATTTTCTCCCATTGACTTACAATGGGGAGGTCGCAAAATTGACCTGACCTTAGGTCACCGATATCAAAATTCCGAGATATACATTTTATAGATACTGTTACCCTTATCAATCGCTGAAAGTTTCAAAGCGATCGGTCACTCGGTGTAGCTATGACAGACATTGAAACTTTTTATGAGGTGAGGTCACTTCAAGTGACCTGGCGACCTGACCTTGAATGACCTTGGTCTGAAATTTTCACAACATGTGTAGAATTGATGTATGATAAGGTGTACCATAAACGGCGGCGCTCCGCGCCGCCGTTTTTGAGATATTCGCGAAAAACCACAAGGGGGGGTGTTCAAACACCCCCCCCCCCCAGCAGGGCGCGGGTTAAAGCTTTATTCGCTTCTCATGAGAAGTGGCTGAGAGGTCGAAGAATTAGATTCTGTATGTGATAAACCGTTCCACTAAAGAACGCAAAACAGACTAGAATAACCTGGGAATGATGAAACGGCGATGGGATTAACGGCAACAGGAATAAATCGGACGGCTGGCAAGGCTTCGACGAGGAGGAAACGTGTACGGTGCACGCATCAATAAGTTTAACACTAGCTGATATATCTAATAGCATTCTATTTCAGAGCGTGTGATTAGCTCGGAACTCTCTCACCAGGCCAAAGGGTATCATTATCTCGCCTCAACTCTGAAGTGACGCAATATCGCCTGTGACTTGCGATTGACCGACTAAATCTATTCAAGGGTTCAGAACATCTAACCGTACTACTTCCCTGTAATTGGGTCATAAATCGAACAAGGGCGCAAGAGGCCTTCCATCTCGGGTCACCGCGAGGGTCTTCTCGCGGGGAAAAGGTGTGAAGAAGTAACGACGCTGCAAAGTGCAGATGTTGCAATTCCTTGTACGTCCATTACCGGGTAGAGGTGTCACACGGTTTCTATTTAGATATGTAAATAGAAATGAAATTTCTATTTACATATGTAAATGACACGTCATGCTGTCCGGCAAAAGGTGTGACGTAGTGTCTGGACCGTGGTCCCGGATTACCAATTCATCACTTATGAAAACTGCAAAAGCACATTCACTCAGCAAAGTAGCCTCAATTCGGTCCTTCAATCCGAATCCAGTTATTCACTGGGGGACCATCCCTCCCTCCCAGCAGACTCTCGACAGCAGAATCCCTCACCTCCCCACCACCGACAGTGAACTCACCGGCCTTGCAGGCGGTGCAGGAGACTGACGACATGACGGACGTCTCGATCTCTCGCCAGACCTGTTTGATGTCCAGCAGCGCCGTGGCCGACGTCAGGAACGAGGGGAACATCCTGCCCTGCCGGTTGACACCGGTCCGCTGCTCGTCCAGCAGGCCGTCCAGCTCCACCTGAATGGCGGTGAAGTTGAGCGACTCCACGTCAGACAGCCGCACCTCCCGGCCGCTGCTGACGGTGACCCGCGCGTTGAACAGCCGGCTCAGCTCGGGCGGCAGCACGTACTCGGAGGGCGGCAGGCGGTTGTCGTCCCGCGAGTGCCCGGAGAAGGAGCGGCGCCGCGCGGCCCACTCGGCGGCTGCGGCAGCCACCTCCTCCGGCGGAGAGACGGCATCGCCGACCGGCGGCGGGCCGGCGCCCTCCGGCGGGAAGGCGGCCTCGGGCGGCTGCGGCCGCGCACCCTCCGACACGTACGGGCTACCTGAGGACACGGCAGGGGCCAAGAGTCAGAACATGAGGAAGACGATCAAACTCCGGAGTGGGACGGACGAACAGGGAGAAATACGGTCAGAAACAAAAAGGGGAGCGGACAGACTTCTAGGAAAGGGGAGGGGACAGGCTCAGGGGTGATTGGAGATTTCTGCAATCTAACCTATGTAAAATGTCACTGGAGGGCGATTAAAGCGATAGTGACCTCCTTAGCAATAAGGCCGTAGTTTCGTGAACCTGAAGAATGCGTTGTCACGTAAAGACTTGCAACTTGGCATCTCACTTTTCCCAGTCCCATGAATGCTAGTCAGCAGGCACGCGACACCGACTGGCAGACTCAAACTAAGCCGATCAACCTAGAGCTGCATACTTCACTCAATGCTCAGGCGCGTGATCCGAAAAAATAAGCATTTTACGGCATACGGTTCCACATGTAATTCCAATGTTCCACATGACATACGGTTCCACATGTAATTTAGTAGAGGTGTCTCAGCTGTAAGGCACACTGCACGTCGTGTTTCGCGAATAGTTCACGTCGATGTGGCATGGAAACGCGTCACTCGCATCATTCGCCTGGATGCCGCCACGGCAAAGTGAAAACACGTGCTGGTGTCACAGACAGCCGGAGACGAGCTGGTGACAAGACCGGCTTCTGTAAGTCCCCGCATGTTTGGGCCCAGCTCCACAGCCAGCGATCCGGAGATAAGCGACCAGCTCGTACCCGTGACTCGAACAAGCAGCCCATGACTGTGGTCGAAATCACTGGGCTAGTACATACCTACCAAACGGACGGAGACATCGTGTTTCACTATTTTGCCGCTTCATTGACTCCAGTGTGAGCGTCCGGATGGCGTCCAAAACGTTATCGGCTGTAACTTTTCGAACCAAAGCTCAAATAGTTAACGAACACAGCTTGCCTTAGTCATAAAGAGTAGTCAGTTCAACGGATAATATGATGCGCATAAAATTCAGGCCACAACGTTAAAAACCTGGGCTTCGACATCCATTTCCAGACCTTGGTCCCATCCGTAAGACTCGTCGCATACACGCCCACAGACCAGCGCCGTCCGGCGTTCAGCGGTGCCTGTGGTGACAGCAGTGACTACCGTACTGATGACCACTGACTAGTCGACCGGACAGGCGCTGAAAAACGGCAGCCTCCGTCTGGCGCGGCGCCGCTACCGCCCGTCGGACAGAGGTGCGCACCGGGCACACGGCGAGGTAGAGGGGCGGAGAGGACTGGACTCGGACCGCGAGGTAGAGGGGCGGAGAGACCGGCAGCGCCGCCCATGGCCCACCAAACGCCACCCAGGCGGCGGGCCGGCACGTGCCGGAGAGCTGTTACCAACCGCCATTTACGGCGGCAAAAACACCCACACCGGACGGGCTATGAGAGAGAAGATTAGAAAGAGTGGACAGGTGATTAGAGGAAATTGGAAAGGGAGAGAGGGCGGGAGACGGAGAGAGTTTAAGAGCTGAGATGGGAATCCCATGAGGCAGGTGGAGATAGAAGCTAGAAGAAATGTATAAAATATTGAGTCTTAAAAATGTTGCCGCACACGTATCTCAAGCCGTTAGCACTTCAAGGCACTGGATTGAATGACATTAAATTTGTGCCTGCTGCCTTACTGACATGCTGCTATGGGATGACAGAAGCTAGAAAGACGATATACATATGTGGAGGAAAAATTGGTGCCCAACTAGCCCTTTCGGTAAAGGACATGATGTGGAGTTTGCTAATGTAATAATTGAATGAGGACTTTACTCCACAAGAAATCGTTCGGGTCGGAGCTTTCGAATTGTATTACAAAGCTTCGTCAGCGTATCGTAATCGGGTTCGGCCTATTTTGCGACCGATACCCCCGAACCCGATTACGATACGCTGACGAAGCTTTGTAATACAATTCGAAAGCTCCGACCCGAACGATTTCTTGTGGAGTAAAGTCCTCATTCAATTATTACATTAGCCCTTTCGGTATACGAGCGAGAGGTAAACCTAGTGAGCACTCAGCAAATCAGAAAGCACTATGATCGAGTAGCACAGGTGCATACGAAACATATCGTAAATTATTTGCACTGGGTCACTTGCAATTGCAAGTCAATCGCATGCCTGCCGAGTACCTAGTGATGCGGTGCCCAGCAGGTTAAATGACTGGTAACTGAAAACAAATGCCAGAGAAATCCACAACCACGGGGTGTAGCCGGGTCTGAACATGAGCCCACAAACAAGCCCAACAATCAGTCAACGCTTCAGTCACCGCCAAGTCACCCGCACATCCCCAGTTACACCGGTAAGACGTAAAACAGGAAATACAAAGGAACCGGTCAGATTAACCGGTGAACAAAACGTCACTAATTAAAACAGCTTTTCATCACTTAACTTGCTAGCTATTTAATATCAAATATTTCAACATCGATCAGTTAGCAAGATACTACCAATCTGTCGTCTCGTTTGGAGCCCACACCTCTGAGACAATGCACCACGGTGGCAGACGGCAGTGGCGGAAACGTCGGACAGCTTGTGATCTGTAGGTAACTGAGTTCGGGCTAACCCCATTAGTCTTACCTTCTGACGTAGCAAGAAGGAGCAGTGCTGATACCAGACTCCATAGGGCACCGCTCATACTACTGAGGAGACAGGTCCGTAATGGGCGCCTGCATCAAGTTCAGAGCCGTCTGAAACAGAACACAGACACAGGGCGGTCAGAAGGGCAGGCAGGAGCGATATAGTTCAAAACATCCACCAAAATAGACGAATGAGACGTTTCGGCTCCACAGAAAGAACGGTCGGTAATGCACGCGTGTTGAAATGGGTTGGGATAAGATGCTGCCGATCGTATGTGGCTGCTGATAATTGAAGTGCGGTCCAGTTAGGGCGGAGAATAACAGGTACAATCTGTGGTATGGGGATCCCCACATGTTCCGTATGTAGCGAGGGCAATGTCACACTTGTAGGTAGACAATTAGACATAATCACCTCGTGGACAGACATTCGTCACTCGTCAAACAGAAGGACAAGGGCATTCCAAACAATCAATATAAAATATCTGGTAGCAAACACCCCGACAGTCAGTAGTATTCATAGTAGGATAAGCTCAGTAGCACACTGTCAAAGAAAAACAGCTTTGTGCTTAATCTCCTCAAATCTTCATCTGTGACTGGCAAACCATCCAGTATGCATAAGTAAGCAGTCAAACGAACGTCTTGTTTTTATTTGGTGGGACACATCAGTCAAACGCCGACGGTCCTGTTTTCTGCATCAGGTATGCGACACCACGTCTCTTTTCAGCCTGCCGGTCTTCCACAGCCGGTATAGGTATACAGCCTGTCTATCACTGCGTCACTACTTCCAACGAGCTACAACGCTCGACTGAGGTACCCAATCGCCACGCCACGTGTGCTCCCTAATGACCGCTAATGCACACATCACTACTCCGTGCGGACCTGCACCGGTCAGGGAGGCGCCGGGTCGCCAGGTCACAGGGGTCAGGTCAGCCGGTGTGGCCAGGCCGTGGGACGGGCAGCGGCCGCGGCGACTCGGGTCAGTCAGACACACACCGACCGCTGCCGCCGGCTCATTACTATCGGCGCCGCTCCCGCGACTTTTGGCCGAGGAGCGGACCCCAGTGTGGTGCCGCTGCCACCTCCGACCGACCTCGGCGCCGTAACGGACACCCAGGGCCGGACGCCTGGACAGAACCGCTGCACGCGCAGGGCGGTCCGTCGTACTCACAGGGTTCAGTGGGTTATACGGTTACTTCCAAAATATGCTTGATTATTCATCGTATGTGCACAGCACCTGGAACGATGGAATTTTGCATTGCACGGTTTTGCAATGCGTCTTTTGTGCCAAGTGGTGACTTGCTTCTGAGCCAGCAGCGCATTAGCATTCAGCAATGCAGGCATGCATAATACGCTATGAGCTTCATCTTATTAGTATGGATTCACTAGAGGGCAGAACATGTGTACCTATTGTGCAGCTTGTCGTTCTTGTCTCATGAACCTATTTCTAATAAAATAAGCTGACGATGGACTGCAAAGCTCTCCGATAAAACTTGGTTTCGTACAAATGTACTAATGCTGCTAGCACAAAGGTCAGACAGAAGGTGCAACATTTTCAATGCAACATCGCCTGAAACTTTTGCTTGCACGCGAGACATTTACATTGCAAAGTAGCGAAAGGGTTCATTACTCAACAACGAAAAGACAAGTCAGCCGACTGAGTCGAAGCTGAAAATCCCCCCCCCCTTGGATCACAAGTAACGGTTTCATACCGGTCTGGCACCATCGGCTCCGACTCCTCCGAAGATTCTGTCGCACGCTGGTACTGGTCTACCGTCCCGTGCTGAGGCCAGACTGATAACCTGGCCGTTTCGCCGCAGTCGGTCCACGTTTCCGCAATTCATTCGGGCACCAGACGGCGTGTCTGGACTGGCCCACTGACCGGCACACATTCAGAGTTCACGTGGGAGAGCTCTCAATGCGCCGCCACCGGCAACCCCAGCACGAGACCGCGCTCACGCGACCTCCGCCGCGCCTCCACGTCGTACTATAGCCGTCCCTGGCCGGCGGCCAAGTCGGACACACCTTGACCTTCCCAGCGGGACGCCGCCGCTGGCCACGCCAGGTCAGGGGTCAGGCGGCGCGCGTGGGGCGGCGCGCGGCACCGTTTGAGCCAGCCGCTGGAGCGCGGAGCCGGCGGCGGCGGCGCCCGGTCGCGGCCCGGTCCGTTAGAAAACTCGCCGGCGCCCGGCCTGCGGGTGGCTCGACGCTGCGCCACGGCGGCGGTGGTGGAGAAATCTCTGCGGGTGCAGACGGCGGCCGTGATGTAACCTAATTGGCCGGGCGGAGGCCAGAGCCGCGCCCGTTATTGGTCGTGGCGTGCTCGGTCGGCCAGGTGCGTCACTGTGGGAGAGACTGGGCAGGTGTAGTGGCCCGGCCCCCAGAGAGACGCACGGCCGGCGCCCCGGGAGAGACTGGGCAGGTGTGATGGCTCGGCGCCCCCGAGAAGACGGCTAGTCGCCCCCGGGAGACGCACGGCCCGGCGCCCCCGAGAGACCCACGCCCGGCGCCCCGGAGAGACGCGGCTCATGCGCGTCCGGTCAGAGGCGATCGGAACAGAAGAAAGTGGTCTGTAGTTGAATGGAAACACCGGATGCGGGAAGGGTAGAGAGCTGTGATCACTCGTCGTGGCCAACCACTGGCAATCACCCAGAACCAACCGGCGAAGAAAGTGTAAATCATTCGTAACACAGAAGGTCGGTGTTACAACATGACGTCGACCAGAAGCGATCATAATGTGATCTTTGCTGTTGAATTGACCCATCCGTTGGCAGCACTTTTTGTTTAAAAAAAAAATGTTCACATCACATTTGCATAGCTCCCTCTGCGTCTTTGAGTTGTGTTTCCGTATTCATACGCAGTAGATATAAGAATAGGAAGTTTTTAACGAGTGGTTTTGCGTTTGACATTTGAGCGTAGTTAGGTCACGGGGATCGTCTGGGTTTACAATTACATTATAACATTCGACCTCTGACTGGAATAAATATTATCGAAATCGGGCCGCTCAGGTCCGGACCCTCACGACACCGCCTGTCACTGAACCGGCCAATTCGACGCAGGAATTCGTACTCAATTCACTTTAGTCACGAACAAAGATCGAATATCAGTGGTTCGGACACGATCAATCCGCTCTCACAGGTTTCCAAATATCGCTACTTCCCTGTTACGTGACAAAGCCATTTATAGGTTCAGGGATCAATGCCCTCGGTTGATTGTCGTGAGGTCTTATCACCTACACCAGGTAAACGGGAATTGTGGAGTCATGGACTATGTTTGACAAAACCGTGTGTAACAACGTGAAATGAGTCATGTTATCTATGGTTTTGTGTTAGGTCGATATTGCCAAGAACCAACATCCATGACGGGTTCTATTATATCGGCAAGATCACCGTTCAGCGTTACTGCACTACTGTTTCCAGAAATACGTGCCACCTGAATTACGTTTGAGCCGATGTACGCCAACTCAAGGCAGGTATACCCAAAGTATACCCATTACACAATACGTATGGGTAAAACTGGTCATTCAAAACGGTCTGTCCGGTCTATAACATACAGGGTGATCCAAAAAAATTGGAACCCCTAACTTCAAATGTCCGTAAGTCCGAAAGTTTTCAGGTTATTGACAAATTGCAAACACCATTAGAAAGAACGTTCAATTCTCCATAAAACCAAATTGATTGAACTTAACTATTACTATACATATTGCCCTAGTTATATGCCTATAAAATTTGTGTCACGAAACTCACTGAAACGGTTTTGAACATTATGCGCAAATCAGTGATTTGCGGTTTGCTGTTCTGACCATGTCGCATGTTGGAGGTTCATGAATAAAAATAGCCCATTCACGTGCTATTGCAAGGAATTTGAATTTCAACAGGAGCAAAAAGTCATTCGGTGCTCCGTGCCACACGGCCCACTCAGTGGTCGAGTTTCTGGAACAGGCCCGCCCGGCCTTCATCGAGCCAGATGCCTGGCCACCGAAGAGCCCTGACCTCAACCCTTTTGACTTCTTCGTGTGAAGCAAAGTGGAGCGAATTATGTATAGAGGTCAGAGGATCAGCAGTCAGTACCATGAAGGAGTTGAAGGAAAGGCTGACGGCCTGCTGGGATCAGTTGTCCCAGAGACTGCTGGCCGGCGCCGTCGGAGCCGTCCCGAAGCGACTGCAGGCTTCGTGACGGCCAACAGAGCTCGGTTTGAGCACATGCTGGGATGAACAGCGGAAGCTAGGACGCGTTTATCTGTTCTATTGTGTGCTTCTGTGTAAACTTTTATGCAATAAAATTGAAATTGAATGTGGTGTTATTCGCAAAAAAAAACAACAGATGGAGTGCTAACGGACTTCAGTGCATTGTTAACAATTGGCGATTTCGTTTCACTCAGTTTTCTGACGCTCATTCCAAAAGCTAATAGTGTGTCGATGCCTTACAACATACATGCAACAATTTGGCGTAATTTTATAGAAGATTTAATGCTCTTTCTAATGGTGTTTGCAATTTATCAATAAAGTGAATACTTTCGGACTTATAGACATTTTAAGTTAGGGGTTCCAAATTTTTTGGATCACCCTGTATACGGTTGGAACGGTTGCGTACGATACTACGTAATGCGTACCCAACTGAAACTTGTAACAGTTTCAATTTATCTGATCTGGAAGTTATAAACAGAATTGGGACCAGCGGTAGTCCGTATGAATCTGGTCCGGCTCAGACGGACGTTATGGTGACCGTGACCGAGTGAAGTGACGTGATGCGATCGTGGCGTGACCGTCTGTGACGCAGGGCGCGCGGTGCGCCGCACGGTGGTGTGATCAGCGGCAGACCAATCGCAGAGCAGAACACACCCCTCCCGGGACCCGGCTCTCGCGTCCCCTGTCCGGGGTTATGTCACACGCCGTCCGTGTGTCAGTGAACCGATAAGGGGCGTAACCGATACGCGGTGTATAGTCTGCGCTCTTAGTGTTACGATAGCGTACATAAACATTGGCGAAAATGACGCGGGGCGACTTCAATTAGCGCTGTAACAAACATTCACTTCAGCGCACCTATTCACGATATTCGTCAGTAAGCACGTTATCCACGATAAGAGCAATTTGTGCAAACGTGCGCATTTGCCGCAGCGGCCGAGCGTCATTGTTTTAGGATGAAACCAGACGAGCTGACACCATCGCGTGTGGCGCGCTGCACAGTGGACGAACACGGGCTCGGAACATACCCAACTCAGTCAGAGCCGCCCGCCCGGCGAATCGCACTGGGCATCTGCGCGGCCCGAGACGCCGCGTTCGTTGGCCTATCCGGTCAGACGTGTTCCACAGAGCGCCGGCCCGTTCCCCGACGAACGGAGAGCACAGCTCTCCACCCGCCGGCCGCTGATGTTACAACACACTGATGACGTCAGAACACGATCAAGAGGAGTCCAAGGATGGTATGCAAACGGAGGAGGGGCCTAAACCGGTCCCAGCCACGGAGGGAAATACGCCGCTAATAACAAACGGCCGACGCTGACACATGGTGGTCAGAAATGACGGGTTGTGCTTCGGTTCCCAGTGTCGCCTGTGTGCCCGAGTTTCGCCGACTGTGGCGACTAGCCGGGTGCCGCGGCGGCACCAGTAGCCGGGCTGTTGGTGCGGAACGCCGCGACCGTGGGACCGGCGCTCGGCGGCGGTGGGCTCTGATTCAGACCGCGCCCGACGACCCAGTGTCCAGCCGGTGGGTTTGCCGGACCGCTCTGCTCGGGTCCGGTCGGTCCGGTATACGGCGGCGGCCCGAGCCGGGACGGAGCCGGACCGGTTCCGCCAGCCGTGACCTGCAGGTGACCCGGTCACACAGCGGGACGGTCTGATCACAGGGGAGCACTCACTCCGGGAACCGTCTGACTCACGGGAGACGCCGGATACAGCAATCAGGAGCGGGTCACGTGCCGACCCCACCACTCAGCATCGGCGGCCAGTCGTTCCGTTTCCGCCTGTCGTTAATACCACGCGTGTGCACGGCACAGCACTAGCTGCGACCGAGCGCAGGAGCCGGTTCAGCAGAGGCGGCACGTGAAAAGCCAGTTTTTCGCCGACGCCGAGCGACTACGATAACAGTATGGATTGTTTCTGCGATACGGATGCCACGGATGAGCGGACGGAATGTCCGGATGGAGCAGAAAAACACACTGCGATGACACAGTTTCCGAGGTTTGCAGGAATGGTGCCGCTGCAATACAGTCCCCGTCGTACTGACGGCACCTGAAATCAAACAGTAGCGTCTCCAATATACCCCCGCATCATTGATAACTTGCAGTTGCACTAGCTGCACGTACTATCTATTCCGTGCATATTTATCATATTGGCGCACCCTGTCACTTGATGTCTCACTGCCCACCAACATCAGACGAATTCCATCTGCACCGACGCCTTCCGAGCGGGGAGGGAGGCGCCTGGCCTCGCCTCTGCTCGCCACATTATGCAGCAAGTTCACCGCCCTGTCCCTCGCCTCACAACTGCTTAGTGCACGCTATCCGTTTGCACAGCAGCAGTGGCCTACTGCGTGGCGGCAGGAGAGGACTAAGTGACCCTTTAAGTGACCCTAAGTGCCCACTCGGCGCGTGGCCCACAGACATTTGCACCGGCACCGGCTGAGGGGTATTTGAGTGGGCCAGCCTGCAAGTTGGCGGATTCGTCGAGCGTGAGCGGTCGGTGACAGCCGAGGACAGGCCAGTGTTCCCCGATCGCAAAACGTCTCCGGAGAGCGATAAAGGAAACCGCCGACCAAACACAACTCGGTTTCTCCACCGAGCGATCGCGATCCAGTTCTCACCAGATCACGCCACCGCTACTGCCACGTCGGTACATCACATCCCCACCAGCGACAGCCGGCCGGTAGAGCCCTTCCATTCCGGGAGCGCCCGCCCTAAAACGGACCATCACTCATTGGAGCCGTCTGGTGTGGGCCGCCGGCCGCCGGCGGAGCGGTGATCGCACCAGGCGAGCTCTCAGTCAGTCCGCCTGGCAGCCAGGCCCACAGCCCTTCTGTGGAGCCGCGGGAAAGGTGATCGCGTGCCGTCGCTGCAGTAAGATCGCCGCGATTGGGTGTGTAAAAGACGCCGCTAATCGCTGCGACTCTTGCATAAGCGCGTCGGGTCAGCGGTCCCTCGTTGTCGTGGGACGGTCGATGTGCCTCCGTGACCTATCAGACGAGCGGCACCAGCAAGCACTCCTTGTCGGTAGCCCACTCCTTTCCGTCCAGACTGGGGTCCATGGTAGACAGGATGGCGGTCTAGCCGCCAGCAACCGCCAGCCAACACCGCGTAACCAGAGAGTTATGGCGCTGTTTTTGCTCCATCAACGATTGGAGGTCAAAGTGATTACGGGATTCGCTCAGGTGCATCGGAATAACATGAGGCAGCGGCACCGATTCACACCACTCCATGGCGTTAGCAGGTAGTGACAGGACCACCTGAACTCACCTCAAAGGTCTCCGTCCCGTGTCAGGGGGGTCAGCGGGCGCTGCTGGTTCGGCGGCGCTCCGTCCCTCCGCGGTCCACGTCAACACGCGCGCACAGCTGCCGGCTCACTGACCTAGAGCGGCTGGCGGCGGCGGGGCTCGGCGACGGTGGCGCCGCCGCGGCCCGCCGGCTGCAGCGCGCGGCGGCGCGGCGGGCGGGGCCCGGCACACACACTGGCTATTTTCGGCCGCCGGGCGCTGTAGGTACTGTTGACGGGAACAATAGGAAAGGGTGAGGACATGGTACAGATTGGAGCTGAGATAAATGTCGCTGGATAGATGTTGGCAAACGGACTATTTTGACACCGGATTGCCTCTGAGGTCTTTGAACGTAAGGCCATTGGTAGAGCATTTCACGAACTCAGTACGATAATATTTGTTCTTACATATGAAAGGTCACTTTCGTCGGTTGTAATGGTAGGCACTTAACAACATAACACGCATTGCAATTTTCCGCTGAACATCGATGAAACGATATTGCCTACATTCGCAATGACTTCGTAAGCACACTTTGATGGGCCCATACAGCTCTAGATTTAGGGACTTGAAATGAATTCAATAAACGCTAGGGAAATGTGTAAATATTTCCGTCTACATCTTCCACCACGGCCAATTCCGTTGAATTCGTTACCTTCTTGTTGGTCCTCGCGTCACCCCTCCGCGCCCAGTCATCACTGACCGAGAGGGTACTTCTCAGGCGCCGGGGCACCGCTGGGCGGCGGGCGCTGACCACAGGGTGACGGGTCAGGTCGGGTGCGTCGCCTCACCGTCCACCGGACAGAGAAAGCGCCCGGAGAGGAAGAAGGCGGTCCGACCTGCCCGACACCCCGGCTCAGGAGATATCGCGCGCCATCTCCGACACAAGACACCGGCGTCGGGTCGGATTTCCCGGCTAGTTGCGCCGTCGGCCGGGTGGGCCGCCTCCTCAGCGCCGCTGGCAGGCACGAGGAATAGGACTGTCAAAGGAGCGCTGCGGGGATCGGATATCGTCTCGGTCGGGAAGTCCATACGTTCGGGTCAATAGTGTCCGAGTCACTCGCGCGGCTCCTAATTGGCCGGTCATTACACTGGCAGTCGAGAGGTCCGTCCGAAGCTCTAGTAGCTATTTTACAGTCACGACTCTCCGGTCTAAGCGACGGTCGAGATTCAATGGCGACTCAGTCAAGGTTACACTCCTGTGACCCACATAGGAAAGGTGAGAGTGGCCCAGGAGAAATACACCATTAAGGGCAGCCCCGGGCACAGTTTTCTCGTCAGAGGAAGTCGGCGTAATTGGTCTCGTCCATCGACAGCCATTCATTCAAAGAACCGAGAGGAGCAGGGAAATAGATCGACAGGGTTCACCGAAACGGCAGCAGGGCAGCAAACGGTTAAACCATGGCTGAAACAGTTTCTTACCGCTCCCGTTGTCTTTTCAGTCTACTTCTGCTGTAATTGTGGCGGCACGCCGAGCTAAAACCGTCACCATTAGGAGCAAAGCTAACAAAAACGCCAGCGACATACTGTCCACGCGTCCACGGTTCGGCAAGCCGACCCAGAGACAGAACTCACCAGCCCCGTCGCCCTAATAACACGCCTTTCCCCTCTCCCCAACTACCGGCACCTACAATGCAACCAACTCACGTAGCAGGAACAGTGAGCTTCTGTCTCCACTATCCATAGATCCTCCTTTTCGGCTAGCAATTCAGCAGTTCACAAATGACAGCCTCAATCAACACACTAGCATGAGTCGGACACCCAGATTCACCCAAAAGTGCAGCTATTCACAATAATTGCGCAGCAGAAACGATAAAAAGAAATTTTCGCAGCACTACAATTAATAGTTTCTGATACCAATCGTCTGTATTGTAATATATGAGCCCCATTGTTACGATCACATTCACATCGGACTACACAGTAGCTGTTCATCCCCACAGCCGCTGAAATAAAGAACACCATCGTGGGGCGGCACAACCATCTCACGTCTCGGAAATCACTGAAATCACTCATTTGATCACCAAATCGTCGGCAGATGACTAAAACAACACACCACCAACACGACAGTGCAACGGTGCAAAAACATGTAACATTATCGGTGGTGACACTAAAACCACGAGAACCACGAATAAGCGTCACGCATTCTAGGCGCCGCCGGCGCCTCCATTCTCGCTACATTCCACGTCTATTTCGCGCATCAAACGCCACACATTCCGCACATTTCACTGGGTCCCCACCTGCGGCCGATCAGCCGACCACTTCACACCCAGGCGCCAAACGCCGTCCCGACGAGCCATCGGTGGCAGTAGTCCACTGTGCGCCGGCGCCTTACAGTCGTCCAAAGCTCAGTTCACGCGCTACAGAGGAATGCAGGCCGCGCGAGGAGCGTCTGTGTGGTCCACTTTCGATGGACTGTGTCAGCTATCTACGAGTGACCTGGATGGACCCTTCCAGGTCGGGTGACCCTCCATCGTGACCATCCGTCAGGTCACCTGCCGACGGCTCGGTCCCGTCCGATGACCCGGCGCGGTGACCTGCAGCCGTGACCCGGTCTCAGGTCACCGGACCGGCGGCGCGCCCCGCCGCTCCCGCTTCTGCTGCAGCTGCTGGTGGCGCAGTGCCCTCTGGTGGTTCTCCAGGGCGTCAGGGTTGATGTCGTCCGCCTCCCAGGCGCTGGGCTCCTCCAGGTCAGTCAGCTCAGCCCCCTGGTGGATGGAGAGATAGCTTTAGTATCACGAAACACCATCAGGGCAGGCCAGACTTCCCAGGCGATACCCAAAGCAAACCAGCGTTGTATAGTGTGTGGGCAGTAAATAAAGAAAATCGACCATCCACACCACTAAACACGGTAAGCATATCATTCCGCCAGCCCACGAATCCCGCGTTACCTGCGGCTCCAGTGCGGTGTCTGTGTAGGCCAGACGCGAGGAGAAGCCGCCGGGAGCCGTCTGAGGCTCATCCTGGGGCGCCACCAGCACCTTCTGAGAGCGGCGGATCGTCGGGGCCATGTCCTGGAAAACAGTCACGGGCACATCGGTCACACGGAGGAATATGAGAGAATACAGAAAACGTTTGCTCAAATGCCCGGTAAGTGTCGAAAGCGAGTGAAAATGTTTCCTCAAAAATCGCTCTGACTAGTGACTCCGGGCTCAATATCAAATAATTATCACTCAGGTGGAGTTGCTGAAAATCCGGGTTCCGACGACTGAAACACCGAGGAAGGGGGGATAGGTCAAACTGAACTTACCGAGAAGAAGTCCGGCTCCGGTGCCGGCTCTGACTCGGAGACGCGCGCCCTCGAGTCGCGGTAGGCGCGGATCTTGTCCTGGACAGTAACTACGGATGTGGGCTGATCCTCCCAGTTCCAGGTGACAGCCGTGTCCTCCTGCAAGTTAGGTAGACACAGGAGGAAGTCAAAGTCGAGATGACTGTTAAAATAGTGAGAGACACAATTCGTCTTCATTTTCTAATAAATAGAGCTACTTGTTCCATACCTATTACAGCAGAATAGCTTAAGGAGAAGCCGGTTGAATAGTACGTTTTCCTTAGTCAGCAAAGGCAGCTGTTTCGCCGGAAGTAAAGAATATTCCAAGTGAAAAACGAGTTACACAGGCTTTTCTTTATTTCGGAAGAACTACATAAGAAAGACATGCGTTGTCACTATAACTTGCAAGTAAAAGACCGCTATGAATGGCAATCAAACATAACATCACCGGACACCGACCAGGACTAGAACCAAGGGGCTAATGGACGTAACGGTGTAAACCTGTTCAGAGACTGGATCCCATTCCCGTCCATCGATCTATAAGTCCAAGAAACTCAGCGGCCGGAAACCACGAAATTCCGGAACAAGCAAGTCATCAGCCGGTTAAAATCTGTCCAATATATCCTCAGTGTTGACATGTGCCATGTAGGTACCATCCAATTACAGCATGTCATCACTGAAATCTGTCTTTATTGTCGCTCGTAACTCCCTCCGGTCGTCTACCGGGGCGTGTCGTCCGCTCCCTCGGGTCCCAGGTGTCGGCGACAGAACTCGGCGATCTGCCAGCGGGTGTGACTGGCCGGCTCCGGGACCGTGTCAGCCAGCTCTCCGGGCTCCAGCAGTCGGCGCTGCACGGCCGGCAGCGGCGGCGGACGGTACACCAGCACCGGCGGGCTCCAGGCGGGCGCGCCGCGCGCCGGCCGCTGACCGCAGCGCCGCTGCAGCTCGCGTACGGCCGCCTGTCGCCGCGCGAACCGCTCCCGGATCACCCGGCGTCGGTCGAGCACGTGCAGCGCCGCGGCGCACAGTGGCTCCTCGTCATGCTCGTGCTGCAGCTCGTCCCCGAGCGGCGCCATATCAGTGGCCTCCTCCACCCACGGCTCGGCGGAGACGGCAGCGCCCCTGCCGCCGCCTCCCTCCTGCTCCCCGTCTGAGCCGGTGCTGCCGTCTGAGGCCGGGGACTCGGCACCGGGCCGGTGGGCGTACAATGGCCGGCGCTCGTCCACCGGCTCCGACGGAAACAGCTCGTCGTGCAGCAGGTCGGCCACCGCAGAGTCCGCCTCCGAGCTGTGGTCGAACACGAGTCGGCCCTCCAGCAGCGGCAGCGGGGCCTGGGGCTCGGCAGACATCTAGCGCCGCCGGACACAGCACCGGTGCGACCGCCACCAATGCGACACCAGCGCGACGCAGCGGAGCTTTCTGGACGGAAACTTATTGCGCAATGCAGTTTTTTGCGCCGCGCTCCACAACTTGCGGCGAAATAAAACGAAAAAGCTTTTAGTTGAAAAATACGCTTCAATTTGCAAAATATCTGAATATCTATCCAGCAAAAGAAAGGTCAAATATCTGTAATTATTTCAATGGAACAATGTCACAGACAACCTCGACAAAACGGCTTAGATGAAGACTTACTCGTGACCTCCGTTTTTATGGTCTTCGATTTACACGATTTATTCTAGATGTTGACCGGCATTTATTGAAGAAAAAAAAAATCCTGGCGATTTACCAGAGATGATTTCTTTAAACGGCAATGCCACCAAAACGTGTGTTGAAGCTTATGACACCTCCAGACGGTCAGCGTACTATGTGTACCACTCCGTAGGCGATCATAAAGTTGGGGACATTTGACAGAGAAAAAAGCTTGTGAAGCTATCATCTCCGCTCATCGCAACAACAAAAATTGAGATCAAATGAAAAGATGAACTCATGATTCACCACATCAATGGTGTGCTCCAGCATGTAACAAACCAGTGACTGAGTCTGCTTCCGGCTATGTGTCCGGTTTTCCTCCGATTATGTGACGGCGGCGGTCGAGGGGCAGTAATCGCCAGGCCATGTGTGGATCGCCCACGATCGTAAATACCTACAACACATACATAGATACGAGGTCCGGGGACATACGGGGCTGAGCCACGACCGGACCTACCTCCGACTGAGCCACGGGCACCGACTGGACCACATACACTGGACCGGACCTACCTCTGGCTAGTGTGTACCACTGTACACAGGGGCACCGACCGGACCTACCTCCGACCGAGGCACGGGCACCGACTGGACCACATACACTGGACCGGACCTACCTCCGACTGAGCCACGGGAACCGACTGGACGTCCACGGAGATGGGCAGACCCACGTTGGAGAGCTTCCTGCGCCGCTTGAAACAGCAGAAGGCGCGGCCGACCAGCGCCCACAGGCAGGCCAGCGCCGCCTTCACGCGGATCCACACCAGGCGCGGCAGGCCCATCTCTGAAACGGAACGCTCGGGTCACACCACGGCCGCACTGGCAGCAGTCGACCAACACTCCTTAGTCACTCGCGGAACATTGCAGTACTAAAACGCTGCTATGATGAGGGTATTGTGGAGTACCAAGGAGCTCCGGTATTATACCAAACATAGGCGACAGTAGTGCGTTTTTCCGCCTTGCATGCATAATTGGAAGTGTAGAGCCACTTTTTACGGCCGACGGTGTAAAATCCTCGTCCGACAGGAAAATATCTTCACGACGCTTTGCTCTTTGGGGGCCTCGTCGCTTCTTCAAACTTCAAATGAGGAAATTATCACCATACAATGAAAAACGAAGCATGAATACAATGCAGGTAGGTAGGTACCCATTGAAAGTAAGGATGTGTGCCAACTGAGTCCCAGGTAAACCATGAAAAGAAAAAATGGAGACTCGCCATTTGTCAGCAAAGCCAACGCTGTTAGCCTGCGCGGACCAGATGTTTACATACCCAATTGACTTTCCCCGTCACAAAGTATAGCCTTTGACATGGCTACTCTACTCACCCAGCTACCAATTTGGCTTGGCTCAAGTCCGTTTCGCCCCGGCAACTCAGATATAATGCCAGATTTGGGCCGGTGTAAACGGAACGCCATCGGAACAGGGTCGATATGGCTCTATTCCGGTTGGCCAGTCTTTGCCGTAACGCTCCGGGTTGGTATGGTTTCGGACCGCCAACTCCGGCACAGGTCCGGCTCCCTGCCACGGCGTGCTAAGGCCAGGTTCGGCTGCCTCGTAGCTGTTCTGGCTTACTGTGGCTAGAGTACGGTTGCGGTGCGGCGCGGCTGATGCGGGCGACTCCAGGATAAAGTGTCACCTCCAGTTAGAGCTCTAGACCTTGCCCGTACTTTGGCCGGAGTATGTGCCAGAGCTAGCCAGGGTAAAACCAGATATGGCCCAGACCAATTTTGCAAGTTAGTGCCAAGAAAAAAAACAACCTTTCAGTTCTTCAACTAAATCTGAAGGTCATTGGTAGACCTGACACCTAAAATTGGGTACCTACCAATTACCATACACTGTGTAGTGTGTAGTGTGTCCCATGACTTCCAAAAGGTGCAGGCAAGACTCCGGGACATTGGTAACAGATAAATCCAATGCCCCCACTATGTACTTTGTACACTGTGTCTTACATACACTATGTACTAATGCCCCTATTCATTTTTATGTTTTCTTTTACCTTCTCTCTTATTAACAATGATGTGCTGGAGATTAAACAATTACCAATGAAGGTTTTTTAATTTTTTTATTTGCTTGCATGATAGAAAATACCAACAGTCCCACTCAGCTGTTAGCAGGTGAGGCAGGTTAAGGTAAGAGGGACTTGACTGTGACGGCACTTCACCCTCATATATACAATAGGTATACAGTGCAGAATTTGGGTGGGGGGTCAGCTAGTTTATTCTTCTCTTGAGTGGACAAAGTTAGGTCAATGATTAAACACTGCATGCTGATTAATTCAATTAATGTTATATAAAGCTAAAGTTAAACAGCCTAGACTGAGACAAGAATTAGACTATCAAAATATCTGAACTCAGCTATTTATAACTGCGTCAGGCTCACCAACTAGGCGACAAATACTACTGTCATGAAATTGTCCAAATAGTGAACTTCATTTTTAGCGCACCCTAACTCTTCAACAACGAACTGCATTTTAATATTACCTACTCTTAACTCTACTGACTCTGCCGAGATCCATAGCTATGATAGTGATTACGGAGCGAGCGAAGCGAGCGGAGTCTTTCCTTAGATTAACGGAAATTTCTGAGTATGAGCGGCCGGCCGTGCGGACGCTTTTGCGAGGCTTATATCTCAGCAACCACTTGACCGATTTACATGCGGTAATTTTTGTAGGGTAGCTTCATTCCTTCTACCAAGTATTGGACTATTACCGATGCATGTGGGTGACCCCTTATGCACGTGCCACGTGCAAAACGAAGAGGTGTCAGTTTTGTAATTGTTGCAATATCTCGGTAACTACTTGGCCGATTGCGCTGAAAGTTGGCATGTAGGTAGGCACCCACTAGGCGCTGCATATCCGTGTGCCAGAGTTGGGGTGCTGCTGCACGTGCGCACGTGCAGGGGTCGTTTCCAGATCTCGAGAACGGCTGGACCGATGGCGCTCAAATTTGGTACACATTTAGGGACCAGTTAGTAGGGTGCCGTGCACAAGTCAGTTGGGACCCATTTTGCACGTGCGCACGTGCAGGGTGCCGCTTCCAGATCTCGAGAACGGCTGGGCCGATTGTGCTCAAATTTGGCACATCGCTAGAGACCGGTTAGTAGGGTACCGTGCACAAGTCAGTTGGAGGTACCCCCTCGAAATTTCGCACGTGCAAGGCTCACCCTCTCGCTCGCTCCGTTACTCGCCCCAAAAGGCGTTATACTGGGTAGGTACAGACTTGAAAAAGGCAACCAGCTTTCAAAGATATAGTCATAGAATGTATACCATTAATGAATGCTTACCTAATGCCCAGTCAAACTTGTTAGTTAATCACTGCAACTTTGCAACTTTGAGCTTCTCCAATGCAAAGAAAAATGGCCTTGAAAATGGAAAAAAAAGAAAAACAGAAGCCGTCTCCGTCAGAGTGCGCATTAGTTGTCCAAGAAGCGTCATTACTGGAAATATTTGTTTCTGTGTTTTCTTATCAAAGTGACGCTTGCGTAAGCGGAAAATAGCAAATCACCTTGCGCATATTTTCAAATGACCAATTGAAATGCACAAATGTAGCTGGGCATCTAATTTTCAAACAGGAATCGTTGTTTTTCCGGTTTTTCCCTCGGTGACCCACGTCAACACTTTTTCCCATCCTTTTTCCCACATCGTGCTTTGCCTTTTTCCATTGGGATTTTGGTGCCAATAGTACATCAACGTACACTTGGATGCGACAGAAGAGAAGTTATCTGAAAATTTTAAAGCAGCAGGTCAAGCAGGTGGGTTTAATTTATAGCTCGCTTCCTTACTCTATGACATTTTGAATTTCCTAATAGTGGCTAACTTAAGCTAACTTAGGGAAGTAGGTAGGTTGGTAGGTACGTATATGTATGTAGATAGGTCCTATGTTGACTTAAGAATTACATGAAGTTCCACAGTATTTCAAGATTATGTTTGTCCATAGTGCAAATATGAAGGCAATACCTACTTGCTTACTCTGATAACTATTGCACCTCAATAGTTGATAACTATTTCACCTGCCGTGGGTACGTGTGTCACCTTTCACTAATGTTTGCAGTTTGGGCCTCCCCTGTTATGCTCTTATTCAAAACATGTCAATGTGTAACACTGAAGAAAGCTGCCCCACACCAACACTGTAAAAAGTCCAAGTGTTCCAGTTAGCACCTGACATTGATATGATTGCATCTTACGTATACCTAGGCACCTACCATATTTTGTATTCTGGTCTCAGGAGGTCTAGGGGCTGAAAGTTGCAGTGGGTGAACCAGGTGAGTGAGTGAACCAGGTGAGTGAACCAGGTGAGGGCTTCACTAGTTAAGGACATGTCAATGTGTGTGACATGTACCTACTGCTGTCTGCTGGTGTCTCTACTTTTCCCTTTTCATTATTTGAAGTATCTTATATTGACTGCTGTATTGATTTCTTTCAGGATGTCCAACCCTCTCTCCAATGTGCCCCCACCGGCTGCACTGCCATCATTTGTGGCAGCTCCTTTGCCGCCACCAGCTTCTGAAGCAGTGGCGCCACCAGCTGGCACATCTGCAGCTGTCACCTCTGCTGCCCCGCCCGCTGCTAGTTCCGCACCGCCTGCTGCAGGCTCCTTGCCGCCACCACCGGCAGCCTCTGCCATGCCGCCACCGCCAGTGGGTGTGGCCCCACCCACAGGCAGTACCCACCCGCCGCCGCTGCGCACCATCCCGACGGGCATGCTGGCTCTGAACGAGTCGGTGCCGCCGCTGCCCTCGCTGCAGCCAGCCGGCACGGTGCCCGTGCCGCCGGTGGGAGGTCCGCCGCCGACCGCCGGCCCGCCGCCACCACCGCCCACCGGCACCGGCCACCACGTGCCGCTCTCGTACGCCGGCCACATCTCCCGGCCGCGCTACGTGGCGCCGCCAGGTATGTTCACTGACCTGTAAGAAGACTCGAGCTTTTGCTTCAAGATTATGCCACAATCGGTCTATGACAGGTACCATTATGCCATTATGCTGAAGCATCTTGATGCTGCCTCTTAATACTACGTTCAGTGTTCATTCATCCATATCAAATTTCAGCTGGTCATTTTCCTAAGCGGAAGTATGTTCGTTTCAGAGCTGCCAACGACGGGCGGCGCGGGCCCCGCCCCGCTCTACCAGACGGGAGCAGTGACCGGGGCGCCTCCGATGCCCGACTCTCAGCTGGGCGGCGTCAGGTCAGTGGTGACCGATGTGTGGTACACGCAAGCCAGCCACTGGGCTGCATTGGGGTGACTCATGGCTAAGATCAAAGTGTGGGGATGTGATGATTGAACAGGTTGTGGTTCTGGATATTGAAATATTTTGAAATCCGTGATTTGGATATGTCTAAGGATTTGCTATCATGAGTTGAATTGGCATTGATAAAGTGATAAAAATTGACGTGACAAAGTTATGTCACGGATTAAATGCACTTCTTGCGGATCATATGCGTAATGACGCATTCATTTCTTCGTATAAATGACGGCTCAAATTGACTGTGAATAATCAAACTTAAGCTGTGATTATGATTCAGGGTAGCCTAACTATCCACCCGAAGGCCTAGCTTGATAATTGCACCACTGACCAACCATGCTATATCTCATACTTTGACCTCCGCTGTCAGTGTGATGCCGATGTCGTCCGCCGGCGGCGCCACCGTCGACTACGCCCAGACGCCGTACTCGTACGCGGGGGCTGCAGACCCCGCTGGCGGAGGCGGGGCGCACGGCGAGGGGTGGCTCGGCTGGATCAAGGACACGGTCCAGAAGAGCGAGGTGCTGAGCAAGGTGGCCGAGCGCGCGCGTACCTCCATGGACTCTATGATCACCACGCTGGACCCGCAGATGCGCGACATCATATGTAAGTTCTGAACGGAAGTGAAGGATGATATAGGAATGGTTCATTCGTAATATGTTTTGTTACGAGTTGTTGCACCTTCGATATCGCACGTTTGCTATTCGGACGTGCAACAAATCGATCGCCCTCGATTTACTGGTCGGCAGCCAGTCATGATAACTTGTCGGTACTCGACCCTATCATGCGCCGTTTACCGCGCTTTCCAAATCGATAGCCACATATTTGTGATATGCGCTAATTTTACTCTTGCCCTGTGCTATGTGGCTGACTGGGACCGTCCCTGTGCATTTTGATTGTAATTTTCCTCTGTTTGTACTGTAATTATCCCTGGTTATTTCTCAGACGGTGGTGAGCAGAGGTCCTCTCGGTCTCGGGGCAGTGCTGTCGGTATTTGGTAGGACCGGGCCGCCTGCCGCGCCTGCGGACTGTGCAGCTTGTGTGTTCATGTGGTCGCGCTGCTGAGGCCGGTGTTGATGGTAGCAGGGGCGCTGGGTCTTCATTGCTATCCTGTTTTCGTTGCGCATCTTCGCCTGGGCTGGGCAGTGTGTGTCGGGCTATAACAGTGTGGTGGTGGTGGTGTCTGTGGTGGTGGGTTTGTGTCTTTGTTACGTCCGGGCGACCCTTTCCATTTGCATCTCTATGCTTTGGAGAGGAGTCAGCTGCTAGGGTAATCATGTTGGTTTTTCTTCTAATTAGAAGAGGGCTTCCGTCAATGACCTGTGCCAAGATCAACGCAAAACGCACCGATAAATTTAATGACGGACGACAGATGTGTTGCCCTCCAATCAACATACAAGTCAACCACCAGTCGTTCAAAGTTCTGTCTTGATTTTTTGTTCATTGTTCCCATTTTGCCATCAGTTTGCGAACGGTTGGGTATCGTTCGCTCAAAAGCCTAATCATTTAGTTATGACAGGTAACGTCATATCTCTTCCCGAGCAGCTGATTCACCACCATAAAGCTGGCACTGGCTCACTCTGGGACACACGGGTATCCAGTCGGTCCACGTTTACTCAGATATATCGGTATGACAATGTTTTAACCCAATACAGTAGGTGGAACTATGGTCATGAGTACCCAAATATAGGAACTTTCCCATTTTTGGGAACAGAGTTCCCAAATATGGGAACGGGCGTTCCCATTTATGAGAACGGAAGGTAATTTTTCGGCCGTTCGCCCACTAAAACTCATTAGTGCACCACGTCTCAAAAAAGTGCACGCTAATTTAAGTATCTACTAAGTCTCTATAAAATTATCTTTAATCTGACCGTCGAACAAGGAAATTGACCGTCGAATGATATTTTTAATGATTTTTTGAAATGACGGAATGGTGAAAACATGGGTTATTCTACATTTAACATGCAATTTTAAGGAAAATGAAGCGTTTTTTGCATTTTGAGGTCAAGGATAATAATTTTCGCCTGGTTATGAAGTTTCATATTAGCGACACCAGATGCTGACATATGCAAGCGAACACGCGGACAGTCCCGAGGTAATATTGTTGACTTTTGGTGTCGGGGCGCACGACCTCGTGGAACGTCAGTGACTTTACCGAACTACTGTTGTAAACTCAGTTTTAGTGGTTTAAAATTATTCAGCTGTATTTTATCAGCCCGGAAAGACATATTTTATTTGGATGCTAGCTGTTTAGCGTTGTTTTATAAGGAGCGTCATGAGCGTGGTTTTTGTCTTCCGTGTTTCTAAGCATGATCGTTTTGGGGGAATTTCTCTTATATAGGTCGCTCTGTGTGGCTTGTTTATAATTTTTATGCTGATTTCGATCATTCCTCGTGCCCTTCCTACCAGGCCTTTTGCCACTTACACTCATTAAGAAAGGAAAAAACTAGATTTTCATTGGGACTAGGTGTTTTGAGTGTGTAACATATTCAGCGTTCCCATTTTTGGATACTTCCTTGTGCTCGTCAACTATCAGTGTTAAACAGACAGGTGCTTGACATGTCTCCACCCTCGGCGCGGACGATGGATATAGGTACGGAAGACCTTGTTGAACATCGCTGAGCGTTGTGAATTACGTAATCCTGCAGAGGGGGGCGTGCCCGCTACGAGATCGACGGGAATAAAAGCGCAGACGACCGGGCGAAACATGCGACGGTCTTGCCGGAAAGGTCATCTGATGATTGTTGCGTTAACAATGAGTTGCGGCGTTGGACGTGATGCTTGTTAATGAAAAGAGCCCCTGAAAGGCGTCGGTGAAATCGTTCCCAATATTGGGTACGCCGTTCCCATAATAAGGAACGCTTGCAGCGCCAGTGTACGAGAGCGTTCCCAAATTTGGGCTCGCGTCCCGGATGATGGACTGCTTTAGAAATAGGGGAACGATTTGAAACTACGATGGGCCTTACAATATCAAACTCTTTCCCAACAATATTGAGACAAATATCAGGCGGTTCACGGTCGTTTTATATTTTTTGGACGTCATTTAGCGGTTCTTTTTCTTGTTTTAAATAATGCCTACATGGCGTTCCCATATTTGGGTTTATCGTTCCCAAACATGGGAACGAAAATGCGTTCCCGAAAATGGGTACGCTTGACCATAGTTCCGCCTACTGAATACGTAGCCCGAAAACCCGATAACCCTTTCATGTGCCCCGATCGACTGACGCTGTATAATTGTTTACAAGCGTTAGTTTTGCTCATGGTTTTGGCAGCATTAACTAATATGACATTTTACTGTATCATATGGTCCTTTAGAGAATATCTATACAACTCCTAATCTCGTTTTCAGTGAGTTCTCTGGTGATAACTTTTCACCCTAAACATCCGTGTTATTCTAATGTGTAAAATGTCGGTGCTCTGAGTATGCTACATGGCCTTGCTGTATTAAACGCCTTCCACGAACGATGCAATACGTTCATTTGTATGGCTTGGTGTCCGTGTGATCCCTAGCCATTGTGTGTGTCCTGCAGACTCGGGCGGTGACCTGGACATCGTGGTGGCCTCCGACAAAGAGGTCAAGGTGTCTGCCGTCAGAGAGGCCTTCCAGCTCGTTTTCGGAAAGGCCACCGTCCAGTGAGTCGGAGGCGGGATACACTGGGGGGGGGGGGGGGCGGGGATTGGTGGGAGGGGTCGGTGGGAGATCTATGGAATTTTACGCAGTTAGCACCTGACGGTATTAATTTACGATTACAATATTTTGCTTTAGTTTGTTGGATTATAATATGAGGACTACATTGCGAATACTCTTGAGATTATGCGACGTATTACTGTACTGCGTTAGTTGTTACACCGATTACCGGTGAGTGTCCGCTCACTGACCTCTCCACTTCCCACAGGGGTGTGCCGTCACCGGGCCCCTGTCTGGTGCCTCAGCCGGTCGGATGGCAGGGGGCACGCGCAGCCGCTGAGGCTCGCGTGCAGTCCCTGCGCAGCTCAGGCCTGGTACCGGCCCAGCAGGCCATCGTGGCTGCCGAGGGCTTCATCGTCCAGCTGCAACCGGAGAGGTGACGATTGAGGGAAAGCATCGGAGGGACTGAGGGAGGGAGACGAATAAGATGAGGTTGATGGGCACTGGGCAGGCTTGTGATGGCACTCCTGCACTGACGTCTGAAGCGACAGGTTATATTTTATGGGGATAGAGTCCGAACAAACATAAAGGAGACGGTCTTTTCGTTTTTGAACAATCTGGCGCTGGTATTGTGCGGAGGATTTAGCGTGTCAAGTTCAGTGGACCTAACGTGTCCTGTCCGTCCGTGTCTATCCGTTCTGTTTCTGTCCGTATGTGTGCCGTTCCGCGGCTGACGTGCTGTGCGTTGCGCTGACGTCCCGCCGCCCTGCTGGCTGCTACTCACCCAGGTGGTTCGACATGACGCTGCTGCTGCTGGACGAGCCGGCCGGCAGCGCGCTGAGCGTGTTCACACAGCCCACCGAGGTGCCGGAGGCGTGGGTGCAGCGCATGGAGGGCTCGACGCCGCCCGATCACCCGCAGCGCTGGGCGGGCCTGCAGCTCACCGTGGGACAGGTGGCCTCCGAGACACTGCAGGTCAGTTAGACCTTAGGAATTTCATTTTAAGCATTTAGCGCGGGTAAACAGTGAATATGTTGTTGGGGGATCCAGCAGGGAGTGGCCCTTGAGTGTCTGGTCACCTGGGCCGAACTTCCATAAACAACTACATTCTCAATTGAGTATGTCGGCCACAAGTGTCAGCCTGAGTGTCACGAGTGTCCTACGTTTCTTTATGAAATAAAGTGGATGCGGGAATGCGAAGCCCTTACCGAGCGACTTGCGACTACTCTCTGGTCGGCAGGTGGCGCCGTCTGCTTGGCACGAGGTGACCTGCGGTCTGACGCGGCGCGAGCTGCTGCTGCCGGCGGCTCGCAGTTTGGCGCACCAGTTCCGGACGCGGCGCGGCTCCTGAGGTGTCACTATGTCCCTCCCTGACCGGCGAACGGACCGGGACTGATCATTGATCACACATGAGACATGATGCTGGAGAGCGGTGAAGGTGTGGGCTCACAAACCACACATGCGGCGGGCGGCGAAGTGGCCCGGTCTCTGCGGAGGTCACTGGCAAGAACGGTGTGATGGCTTCCTCGGCGACCGAGGTGGGTCCGAACTGGGCCTGTCCGGCCTGGGCGTCAGCGATAAGGTCTATCGATGCTGTTTTTTTTTTTGATGGTGTCAAAATTAAACGAAATTAAAACGTTTTTTATCTAATATTGCGGCATCGCTGCGTATGCTCAGTTGCACCTGTTCATTAAAGACACGTCTGGTTATCGATACGAAAATCCCGTGCCAGTGTATTTATGTAATAATTCCATATTTTATGAACGGATGCGGCGTTACGTTTTGTTCACTAACAGTTTATTGTGCCTGGGAGTATCGTATTTGATAAATGTGTGGCGTTTATGCTTATAGTGAAACATCGAAAAAGTGTTGTTTTGGGCTAGCATTATCTGCTTACAGTTGGTTGAGGTGCTCGGTAGCTCTAAGGTAAGCACAGAACTAAGTTCAAGTGTCTAAGCAAAAGTCTTGTGAGCCATGCCATGCACTTGGTGCTTGAAGGTAGGCACTAGGCAGTGTGTGGTTTTCTGCGTGGGGTGGTTGCACTGTTGGTAGATAAGACAGCGTGTGGATGCGCGTGCCTAGCCAGCGCCATGAAATTGACTCTGCTTTTCGAATCAGCCAGTCATCTCAATGATAGCTGAGAGACCGGATCTCCCGAACGCTCTCTAATTGATACGAAGATAGGCGAGTGGTCGGTCGACGGGCAAAATGTTGCGTTGTAAGAGATATGCGTATTCGTAAAGAAAGATTGCGTTGCTTCCCAGTTATATTTTTAAGATCCCTGGCATCTTTGATTGAGTAAATAGACGCGTTTACATAGGGTTTGTTGCAAGCTTATATCTCCGTCCGTGATGTTGCAAAAGATGCCAATGGTGCTTAACAATTTACAAAATGATCCCCTCTAAATATTTGAAGACCACTGCATCGAAATTATCGCCAAATTAACGAGCTAGAGCCTCGTCAAAAATGCTATGTAAACCGGGTTAATGATAATAACTATATTGAAGTTTTGTGGAAAGGTGATCGATCCTCCAGCTCTTGAATGCGCTATCAAGGCAGTTTGTTTCTGTCTATTGCGAATATGTTACGAATTCCCTAGTTTCTCTACGCAAAAGCTCTAGGGCTTATTGTCATGTATTCATGCCGACTGCGTCCATACAGCAGCTCCCGGCGTGTTGTGTTTGAAGTATTTTTCCAGCACAGCACGCAGAGGGTAGGTTTGGGGCACCAAGAAAGAGTGCCGTTCATATGCATCGGGGAGCTTTGGCGCGGCTGTACGCTATTGTTGATAACTATTGAAGGATGTTTATTATGAATAAATAGACAAAAGATTGACATCGATTGTGAATTTGTTTATTACACAGCGTGCGCCATACATGAATGACATCGGCAGTATTTTTGTCATGTATCCGCGTCAATGCCCGGTTCTGAATGAAAACTACACAGGAACCTCCGCTATCCTAAGTAACATCTATAACAAGTAACAATAGCACGCACGATATCAGTCAGTACCCACAGAAATGCGTTTCAGGGTAACTACTAACTATCCCGTGCCGATTTTCCTATTCTCTTCGTGTAAGAGCATGGTATGTTCACAGCGCGAACTGGTTATATCGGCACAAATCACGGTGCTTTGGTCACCCCTCACAAATAGCTGAATGTCTTTGTAGACGAGCAACAATCACGTTATCTGCGATCTTGAGTCCATCTTATCGATGAAAGTTAGCCTCAAGCTTCGTTCCTGCATGACAATCGCCTTCTATAGGAGCGGTAAGAACGAGGTCATATCTACATTGACTGGTCCGTGCAGGGTTTCGCGTTCACCTTCAATCGCATGCAGCGCTCCCCTGATTCTCCGATATCTCCGGATAACCCTACCCTCAGGGTACGGCAGTTGGGGGCTGGTTCATGGCTATCGGAGAGACGGAGACTAAACCCGACAGCGTCCCTGTTGGCAGGGTACGAAGCTATCAGTCGTAGGAGATTCTGTGGCCAGTGTACTCGTACCAGTGGAGTCCTTCACCTCACCGGCAAGATTATACATCACTCTCATCGGTTGAATTTGTCATCACACTGCCGAGATCCAACGTCCCGGCCACTTATAGGCCCTCCGGGTCCTTTGATTGGCTCGTTTTACGTGTCAGCTCTTGCACTGGTATCCGCACTGGCTCTTTGTAGTCCGGCGGTGACGCGGCTGATCCCTGGAACTCTGCCGGGTCGTAGAAGGACAGCGCCTCGAAGTCGGCCCGGTAGAGCCGCTGCAGCTGCCGCAGCTGGTCAGCCGACAGCTGGCCGAGCAGCTGGGAGACTGTGGAGGGGCTGGGACCGGCCGCTGCCGCCCGGGCCGCCGGACTGCGCGGGTTCGGCGCCGGCCGCCGCAGGTAGTCAGAGATACCCCACTGTCGGCCCTGCGGAAAAAGGGAATCGCAAAAGTCAACAAATGACGCCAGTATTGAGAGATGACCTCACCCACTGCGCCGGGAAGGGACAGAGTGGTCGGGTCTCCAATGCATGGGGTGATATTGACGGCCGCTGTTGGATGCTCTTTGTGTACTTGCAGTGCTATTGTTCTTAGAGCATTGCAGCTTTTGCCAAGTTCGGTCTTGTCAGCCGACTGCAATGTAGCAGTTTCCGGAGCTTGGTGTTGTCTTTGTAGAGGGTGTTGCAGTCTCTGATAATTGATGTTAGCGGTGCAAGGGGCGCTGCAGTCTCCAAATCATACATGGTGCTACTATTGTGTGAGGCATTGCAGTCTCCTGTGATGAGAGTTACATTTGTGTGCGATGTTGCAGTCTCCAGTCTTTTGACACTTTTGCTGGTGTTTTGTAATGGTGTTGCAATTTTTATTGTTTCGAGTGATTGTTAATGCATGCTTCCAGTTTCCAGTCGTGGGGTTACTGTTTTACCCGTCATTGCAGTTTCTCGACGGGTGTTGACCCAGCGCATGGTTAGTAGTTAGTGCCCACGCTGCCTTCACGGCTGCATTATTGAATCTCATGACTGCCACTCATCTTCCGTAACCTGGCATCGTGAGATCGTGCCATTCAGAAGTACACGACCTCTGAGTATACCCCTGCCCCTCACCAGCCTCCGGTCAACCCTCACATCCCTTCCTCTCCCCGACAGTTTCTCACCAGTTCCTCCAGCTCCTCGTCCTCCGTCTCTTTCTGGACGATCAGCCGCCGGCCGATGACCCCGCAGAGGTCACAGGTCACTGTCAGCGGTCCGAGGCCCTCCGGCAGACCGGCGTCGCCAGAGTTCAGCGCGTGCACCGCCTCGGGGAATGTCGAGGTCGCCGTGGGGAACCTGAAGAGGGAGACGGTAGGTAAGAAAAACACGTCATTCAAACAATTTGTGAAATTATATACGAAGCGATAGCTGAGATGGAAGAACTGTTCTCGTCCTCATCTTTAGCGATTGGTTGTAGGTAGGCAAAATAGGAGTGATTTTATGAGGTCCTGATGCTTGAAATGTGAGTGAATTTATAATGCACACACCAGCCCCTAAGAATGTGTGACTGCTTAGAGGTCGGATTGAAACAGGTCAAGTGCTCCTCTCAAGTCTCAAATGTCCATCGTGTTCTGGCTCCGGGAACGGAGAGCGTTCACTCACGGTTTCCTGAGGTAGGCTGCTGCTAGCCTCGAGTAAGGATGGCTCACGGTCACCACATGGGTCCAGTCGGCAGAGTCCAACGGGCTGCCGGAGCTGCCGTCCTTCAGTGCCTGCAGGCGGCGGGCGTCCTCCCGACAGCGGGTCAGGTCTGTAGGGGAGAGACGTAAGTCAGAGAAGAGCTCCCCTGTGGTGTGGCGGGGCGGCCCGGGTCTGCAGTGGAGGGGTTAGAGAAAGCATTCACCGTCCTGTATTCAATTGATGGTTTATAGGGGAGAAGTGGGTTGAGTCAGAGCCAGAGAAAGAGTCGGTGGGTCCAGTCTATAGGGGAGCGAGAGGGGCGGGGACCAGAGAACGGTGTCTAGCGTCCACCTGCAGCGGGTAATGTCTGTCGGGTGGGGACTGAGCCACGTGGGAGAACTGACCCCGGCACCGAAACGAGTCCCTGAACGGGACATGACACGCGGGCGGATAACACAGTTGACATCTAAGTCGAAACGGTCCAGGAGGTTACATTTGAGATTAGTGATAAAACAGGTCAGGGTTTGTCGTATCACCCGCTCCATCGGCACCACACGGCCACAACAGCACGGCCGGTCTTATAACGCGGCACGACTCGGTCATGAACTCGCCACAATAAACAAAAAACGTCCCGACTACACCACCTGACGCTGACCCCGCTCCATGTCCAATTTTCCCTCTCGCGTACCGTTGGGTCGCTCTCCGCAGCGGTGGCTGGGGTCGGCACGAGCCAGTCTCGTGAATGTCCTCAGCCAGAAGTGGTCACCGGTGTCCCCCTCGGCGCACGAGGCTAGTTTGTGACGGCTGGAGATGAGCAGGCCGCGGATGTTGGGGCCGGGCCGGCTGAGATGAGTGACATGAAATGGGAACGGTCAGTTGGGTGATACGGATGTACAAACACGTTTCTAAGATAAAAATGTGTTGACATGAAATCGTACATGAAAGTCGGCAACAGTCCTGATGTGAGAATTAGACCATGGAAATAAGAACATGAAATCAACGCGATACAAAGTAAGCACTGTGGGCTGCGCGTAATCTATTGGTACCGTTTAGTCTTCCAAAAAAACTGACCGGCGATAAGCGGCCCGAATTTCATTGTCACTGAGTTTATCCACCAGCGCATCTATTGTACCCACCTGTGCGCCCTGGTGGCACCGGCCTCCTGGCAGTAGCGCTCCACCAGCCGGCCGCGGAGGGCCCACCGGTCTGCAACGTTCCTCCGCCGGAGTTCAGCCGTGGTGACCTCCGAGAGCGGCACCTCGGCTACTGGCAGCAGCGGCGGGCTCTCCTCCTCCTCCGACAGCATGGCCAGCGGCCCGGACACCAGCAGGAAGCACATGGTGTAGTAGGCAGTCATGGTGAGCACGTACAGACCCTTGTGGCGGCCGTCGCTGAAGAACATGCGGTAGATGATGATGGAGATCATGGTGAAGGAGATCTGGCGAGGTAGTGGTAGAGTGGAGAGGACAGACGGTACGCTCGATCGGTACGTCCGATGTGAAGGATGTAAGGCTAGGCTGGTGATCACGCCGCCCAGTTAGGATGTAATGAACGGGTAAGGGCGCCCGAGGGCCCAGTCGGTGGAGAGACGTCAGACGGCAGTCAGTGAAGAAATCTTGGGTCTGCGGTTGCTCCAACACGCTGTTCAGGAGGACTCCCTAACGAGCTGTGATGGATCCGGCTCCGGGGGCTGTTAGTTGACTGACCTTCCCTTTCAGAGGGATGATGCACCCGTAAGCTGGAGGTCGGTACTGAGTTTCGCACACAGGGTATGAGTAACGTGGACTTTTGCAGGTCGACGCCCGACCACTCGGAGGCACGCTGCTCAGTCAGTCCGTGTATCACCAGGCACTGCCCAGTATTGACTAGATCACTGTTCACCGTCTGTCAACCAGCCGTGCACCGTGCTCCTTTCACCGTGCACCGACCCCGACCGACAGACCGACCGACCGCCGCTCTCCCCGACGGAGTCGCCTGGTCCACGCGCCGGGCCCGACTGACGCGGCGGACCGACCGGCCGGCCGACCGACCGGCAGACCGGCTGACCGACGGTGCGCCGGTGTCGGAGCGGCGTGCACCGTCACAGTCGACATCTACATAGTGGCCGCCGCCGACTCCTCTGCGGCTACCGATGCTGCTCCGACCATGTACCACCTCCCGCTCACGCTTCCGCCGTCGCGTGTTCCGCAGAGATGCACACGCTATGTGTTTTTGTTTGGGAAGATGGAGGTTAAGCGGGTAGATTGGTCCGCTGCTGAGCGTAGCGACACAAGACCAACACACGTCCAACGCAAGCCATATCAGAGGACTCTTACCCTAAAGCTGAAACTTCTGGACTGAGCGCCATTCGTCTCCATCGTCATGTCTGCCGAGCGCATTGAGTCGTGCATGGTTTGAGCAATTCGTCGATCACTGAAATGCCGCTACATGAATATTTTATTCCCACGTTTTCTAGCCATTTCGCAGTCTGGCGGGGTCAATAAAGTTGACGTTACGAAGACACTGTGAACGTTACAACCATTCACCATGCCATTCGTGACAGTTATGATCACGAAACGCCTTCACCTGGTCGATCAGAAAGTGACGGGAAGCGGCCCATGGGAAGTTATCCCCCACCCACGCCGTCTATCCGGTGTATTCGCAGCGGTGGCTGCTCGGAACTCTCCCTCTCCCCCTCCGTCACCCCGCTCCCCAGTGACCTGGATCCAGTCTCACGGCCCGCCGCGCCGGTCGCCGACCCGGTCAGACCCGGCCGGCCGCGCAGCACGGGCGGTCACTCTGCCGTCCCGGTCCAGTCGAGCTGGTATCCCGGTCCCGTGTCCCGTCCCGGTCCCAGCTCGAGGTAGCGGGTCGGGTCAGTCAGTGTCGCTCCCACTGCCGGTCCCTGTCCCAGACCCGTCTAACCAGTTCGAACGGCCGCCCCGCCCACAGCAGAGCGACAGATGATTACATCAATCGGCGGCCGAAAACTAACTGCCCAGGGTCGGGGTTTCATATTATCATTTTTCGTCATTCACCAGGATTATCGAAAAATAAATCAGCCTCAGCATTGATCTCCCTGGATGACCTTGGTAACCTTGGCGTGCGGAACCAGTAAACAAGTATAGATCAAATCCTCACTCATGTATTTAGAAAACGGTAGTCATACAGGAATGGCGATGGGTGCAGCCTGTCTGTAAGAATCTTGGGTGCAGCCAATGTTGAGTTCCTTTTTGTAAAGAGAAACAGCAGAAAAGCATGAAATGTTTGGCGCTGGTCGCATGCACAATTGGATAACACATTGGTGATAAATGGGTGAATGGTGCAGCTCACAAATCAATTAACATCTCGCATTACTAAAAGTTTGATAAAGTTTGCAAACACACTCACACACGGGTGAATGTCACTATATGCAGGTGCACGCCCCCAATCCCAGGAAGAGCATGCTGCGAAAGGCAATCCCACGGCTTTAGACTAATCAATAACTGAACAGGGCCAAACGGGTGTCGAGACAAATTCCGACATCCATTAAGGTGGTCATTCACATCGCCATTACAGCATAAAATTTACCATGTTTTGTCGCTTCTATGGCTGATATTGTGTTCACGTATGACGTAAGCGTCCCCTGTCAGCCCATCCATAACGGGCAATATAATAAATACTGTCCGGAAAGCCCAGCACCAAATGCCAACGGAAAAGTAACAACTGCGGTCACTTCACTTCAGTGCGACAAACACACAGCAATACAAAAGGGACACTTCATAACTCCTCTGGAATTCTAAGGCAGTAGTTCGTCAGTGCGTACATTTCTCAAACAACACCATCGAATACCACACTTTCTAATGTCCGTTCCACTGAGATACACGCCACGACTACGAGACACCCTCCAACGTTCACGTGTTGGAGCAGCTGTAATGATCATGTGGTATTTAAATAATAAACACTTCACACAAAACCCATCCCCTTCCCGTCACACTTCAGCACACGGACGGTACGGCAACAGATAGACACAACCCAAACAAGCGATCATCGTAAAATCATCACACTAAGCCGGATCTCACCAGCTGAGGATAAAATACACCAATGGGGTGCATCAAAAAGAAATAAACCTACGTGCGCTTTTCGGAACATAGGGATTGGGGAATTATTCTCCAATATCGTCTTGTTACCCAGGAAATACGCAAAACTCATAGCTTACGCGTTTCAGTGAGGAATAAGAGTTTTATAAACTGATTATTTTTATCATGGTGAAGTACCGTTTAGGCGTTTACCGTACTCATCCAGATATATGTATACGTGAAATAACCACAATTGTCAGTAATCTAAAGCTAGTAACGGAAAATATATCAAAACGCTAAGCGGGTATCCACAATAAATAAGAAGTAGCTGGTAAAGTATAACAAACATGGCTTTTGATGCCGATTTCAAAGCTGCTCTTTTGAACGATTCGCAAAACAATTGGACCTCGTCCTTACTACACCATATTTGTCACACACTGGTTTCCTCTGATAATCCTACGATGGCATTTGACGGTACTCGCCTCCATACGTCACCAAACGCCCTTCGGTTCTGTCTGAGCGCCTTCAGTTACCCTTCAGTATCCACAGGCCCGGGACATCACAGAATTCGGGACCGGGGGCTGTGTATGTCCTCTAACAGAGTCCCCTAGCTCGCACTCCCGTCGACCCGCTCTATCCGATGTCATCAGCGGGGCACGGGTCAATGCAGCACTCCCTGGCGACCCGGTCGACCGGTCCTAATGCCCCAAAAACCTGATCAGCAGCGGACCCACCCACTGCATGGTGACCTGTGTACTGCACTCAGGTTCCGGTGGTCCGGTAGCGTAGGCAGCTTTTTCCGTCGACACTTGTGCGTTAGATGGACGCGGAGCGGGGCGACCGCCGCGGCATAGCGACCTATTTTCACTCCGGTCAGTCCCGTTCCACCAGCACAATAGGTACACTGCCAGTGCCGGGCAACCCGAATCGCCCAGTTCTATTTTCACATCAGTATTTTCACTAACTGAGCGTTGCACTTTCGCACTTAGCTTGCGCAAAAGACTGGTCTATTCCTCTGCATTTAGCGACTAGTGACGGCTCGGTCAGCCTTGCTTGCCTAGTTCTATTTTCTTTTGTATGGCACGCACCGAGTGGAAGATGGCGGCGTCCAGCAGACTTGCCACGGTGAACACGCCGCCCACGATGGCACACAGGTTGGTGGCGAAGTGGCCCACCGACCTGCCGGCAGCACACACCGCGCTCAGGTCACTACGCTCAGACCATACAACGCTCAGATCACACACCGCTCAGATCTAACCGCTCAGCAGGGCACGCTTCGCTCAAACCACATGCACTCGGCACTGCCCAGACTGGGCGGCTCTCACAGGGCGTGAAAAACATGAGGTACGCAGATTCAATCCAGGTGATCTGTTTAGCTGAACACACACAGCAAAAAGTCTTGCTAGTCCAGCGGACCATTCAAACTGACTTACTTGACTCTTTCGGTGTATTTCACCATGAGCGGTGCGAACTCGTACGAGAAGAACACGCCGGGGGCGGAGCTGCCGTCCGAAAACTCGTTCAGAGCCTGCAATAAACCACACATGATACGTCAGTGAGATAGCACCTGAGCTACCTACTCACTACTCAGCCTCCTATGTGGAAAGGACATCGCACGGAACTGAAATGAACTATCGCTTCGTTTCTTCCTTTCATGTTCGCTATAACTTTACCCGTAATCCTACGCATCACTCATATTCAAACCCCAGCTGACTTTGAAGCTCATAGTCCCCCAGATTCTATCCTGCATTTTGCCCTCACACTAATGCCGCCCCTCCCCTCCCTCCAGCCGCCCCTCCGCTCGCGTCCCACCGCGGCAGTTCCAAGGTCCTGGTCCGTATTCACCTGGTGGTAGCGGGTGACGGAGAACTGGTTGGTGAACAGCGTGAACTCGTCTCGCCTCTGCCACATGGTCGGCACGATCTTCACAAAGTACTTGTACATGGTGCCGCCTGGCCGGGAGAGAGGAACGAAATCAGATAACTAGTGACCACCGCTATGTTCATTATTTACACACCTTAGCTAATGTGCAATAAAGTAAAATATAGGAGCGAGATGACCTGTTTCCAGTAACCAGTCCCTGTGGCCCCCACCCCCAAGATTCTTACAGCCCACCCCACCGCGGGGTCGGCATACATAGCACGGCATAGATAGCTGTGGTGTCCCCTAGCCACATACGCAAGCGTGGTCAACGACGTCGTCTTTGAATGGAAATATGGATGTCACATCACATCCTAGCGCCTACTTAGGGCTCGCTCAGGGAACTACGGTGGAAAGTGTGGAACCACCTCCTGCAAAACCGTTGGGCTCGTCCGGGATTTGAACCCGGGACCTCTCGCACCCGAAGCGAGAATCATACCCCTAGACCAACGAGCCGATGCGGATGCCGTCCGAATAGCGCTTCTGACCATACATAAGCTGATGATTAACCACAAAAATAAAAACGTGATGCCGAGAGGTAATATTTCTCATGACTGTTCAAAAATAAAAACGAAATTTAAAAAATTGTTTGCTATATATCACCACCTTTTAAAAAAAGACATCGAAACGCAGAAGCAGTCAGCGCCTACGCAACATGGCGGCGCCCATACCAATACGGCGCAGTTTTCGCCGCACGCGCACGGGCTGACACCGGTGATAAGTGATAAGCGCTGGGAAATCACTTAAGTTAAAATACAAAACACTTTTAGAACTGCTAGATTGGTGCAAAGGTAAGAATAAAATTTACAATCAAATAGTAGTGGGCTCATAGCAATGTGGCTGTGCCACCTCACTACTGCTACATCAACATGGAAGGCATGGCGGACCTCTGATAGTCACTTTGTTGGCAGGAAAACACAAATTAATTTCTGGCTAAGAGGGTTGAGTAACCATCTAGCCTAATTGCAATTATCTGTTATGTCACTGTGTCAGATAAACGCCATGCACTAAACTCAAGGTGTCACTTGTATTAGATCTCTATTTAGCAAATTAGATAGGTATGCATACATCATTTTCCATAGTTGTCAAGACAGCTTAAGGGATCATTTTCTTCATTCACATATTCATATGACATATTTCAGGCCACAATGCCGATCCCTGCTGGATATGGGGCCCAGGGGCCAAGCTGTTTTGACAAGATGAAGATGGGATTTGGCATTGGATTTTGTGTCGGAATGGCAAGTGGTGCCCTATTTGGAGGATTCTCCGCCCTGAGGTTAGTGACAAGTAGGATAAATAGTGGGAGAGTTGTTTGATAATATGAAAAGACAAATAATTAGGATTAACACCCTATAAGTATTAAAAATGTGAATAAAACAAATGTCAACCAATAAATGCATCTCTTATCAAACAATAGGTAGGTAAGAACAGCATTGCTTACAGCCCAATGATGGAATCTCTAGTAGAAAAGCCCAAAGAAATTAGAAAGACTTATCTGATCAGCTGGCCAGTGATAAGATTCCCAACCAAGGATCTTTGATTTCACTTGCATCTAACAGTGATTGCCTGCTTTATGTGGCAGCGGTTGCATTGCAAGCCAGATGGGCTTGTAAATGGGGCAGGCTATCTCTGATTTCTTCAACTGATTATAGTCCACAGTCCACACAACTCTGAATGATGCCTTTCATTAAAGAGCTTGCACACGAGGGGTAAACAGCCAGGACCCGCATAACATGATTCACTTTGCATGGGCCGAGGAATCAGCTCATTAAAAAAATTAAGATGTTTCATAAAAGATGCACAATACTCATCATACTGCCATGACATGATTTGGGAAGGCGTGACCCCACCAAGCTTGATAAACATACCAAAAACAAGATTGATTTACCCGCTTGTATCTGCCTCAGGTACGGGCTGCGAGGCCGGGAGCTTATCAACAACGTGGGCAAGGTGATGCTGCAAGGAGGCGGCACGTTCGGCACCTTCATGGCGATAGGCACGGGCATTCGGTGTTGACCATGTCGCCCCTTCTTCGCCATGCTGTCTCGCGAGTGTTTAGTGTGATACCGGGAATTCAAATGGCCACTTGAAATCCCGTACTGAATCATATGTATGGTATCCTCAGCCACCTCATATGGTTATTGCAATGGGTTGAGCAGGAAACGCTGTTTTGTAGTGTGCATTGTGTAATAAAACAACCACAGTATATCAACAGCATTGTTTGTGTCTCGTCTGTCAACATAGCATAACGAAACTGTGACACTGGTCTCTATTTTTCACATGTTTCCTCCGTTTGCGTAATACCCATCAACTTTTGATTCCCACCCGCTCTATGTAACAAGACAACTACAAATATCAAGACTACGCGCCACATCGACGGCTAAAAGGACGGTAACCGTCTGCCCGTAGCGAGTGCGGCGCGCCGCTCACCTACATCTTACCTTTCTCAGCGACCGACTGCAGTCCGTCCAGCGGGTTGGTCCTGCCCGGCACGTTCTGGCCAAACGACAGGTGTCGGATCGTGTGCGTCAGGTTGAACTCGCGCGCCGAGAACGGCTGCATGTCGTGCACTGAAACGGGCGATCGCAAATTACCGTAACCGTTGGGTTTATGTAGGCGGTGCTGGCGCTGGTCGGAAGCGCGGTGATCATTTATTTAGCACAATTTGCGATCACAAAAGAGCATGAAATGAAGCTTTTAAAATATCGGTAAAGCATTTAGTTTTGGTTGATACAAAAGTAGGCCCGACGCTCCGTGATAAATGGTACACCTTTTTAATAACGACGTTCAGAAATAGTTGAATTTAGGTCCATAACCAATTGAGCCAATTGATTAATCGAACTCGATCAACGATGCGCTAAAAGGGAAGGTCCGTACCGTGAATGTGTCCGTGCTGGTAGCTGCGTCCGGGTGAAATGTGGAAGTTGCCCCCAACCTGCGGAACACATGTACATGACACGTGTGTTATCTTAGTCTATCCAAATGCCACCTTGCCACCGATACGTTTGGGAAACAGTGCTGCTTCAGCAGTCAGCATTGTTCACAAGCGATGAAGTATTGACGAAATATTGCACAATTTTTACAAATAACAAATAACAATAGCATAATCACGATTAACGTTATGTCCACAAGAGTACATTCAGTCAAGACAGTACAGTTCAAACTCAGCTGACCAATCTCACACAGATATCCCGGTCGGGCCTGGTCACTCACCCTGTTGACCTCCAGGTAGCCGTAGATCTGGCACCCCTCCTGCAGGGCCTTCAGGTCGGCGTCGTTCAGCTTCAGCCCCTTACACTGGTCGATACTGTTGGGGCTCGGCATCGCCCAGCCCTTCTTCATGTAGGCGTCGCGCACCTCCATACACGTGTTACAGCACCTGACAGGGACGGTCGACACAGCCGTGAAATTACCGCTTCACCGATGTAGCTGACTACACTCGAAACTGGTTCTACCGATTCTATAACTAGTACCAAGTTCATTCACGTCAAACATTGCGAGATTCAGAAGAGTCTTTCCATCGCTTGTGGTAATCACTGGCAGTACGGCAAATGTAAGCTGAACAAATAAATACGGCTTATGAGTCAAAACACTAACTAAATTGCCGACATCATCTCACAAATTGTACATGCAAGACGACGATTCAGCATCTGACGAGGGTATTTTTCACGGATAAGCTAGATGAAATTCATGAATTGTCAATTGTCATGGTTTGATGAAAGAGATACCGGGGAAGGGTAAGGGAAGTGAAGAAAAGGACAAGACAAAATCCCCCAACCCAGCTATCAGTCTCTTACTTGCGCTCGTCGGTCTCCGCGCCGTAGCAGCTGAGACACTCGTCCTTCTTGGCGACGGCCACGTCAGTGGTGGTGTTGGCCTTCTGAGCAGCCGCCGAGCCCAGCTCTGTGGACCACAGCGAAAAACGCACGGTTATACTAGCTCATGAATCCATTGCTAGTTATCGAAAATCAGCTGACTGGGGCGCCATCTACGGAAACGAAAGTGTAGACTGTCGTCACAATGCATGGCTACATGGAGACTTACTGTGTTCTTTCTCTGGATCTTCGATGGGCTTTCCTTCGAGGTCCAGTTTACGCTTGAATATGTTATGCTCGACATTAACTTGTGATTCTCCTGAAGAATCCATTGCATCGATGGAAACATCTGGAACATCAGGAATTGTAGATCAGCAACAAACTCATGATAACCTGGAAATGCACACAGAGAAAAAGCTTGACACCACGAATTTCTAACACTTGTATACATTTATACAAGTCTGACAACCGACTTTGGTTTACAACACAACTGAAACTCACAGTTGCAGCCTATGTTGTGAAAGATGACGTCCACGTTGATTTTCAGTTTCTCGCCGCGCGTGGTGTCCACCAGAAGCTCCTCGTCCTGCTCCACGGCCATGAAGTCGCGGACCTCCGAGATGAACAGCAGCAGGATGATGATGCCGCTAATCAGAGTCACTGCGAATATGGACACGCTCTGTTAGCCTGGATTTGTCCTGACTATGACACAGGCGAGAGAATATAGCGAGAGCGAGAATTCGTAAGGGCTGCAGAGTCAACTAATCTACAGTGACCTTGAAACCCTTCACGGTGTTTTCTTCTCGACGTACGAGTTCACCAACACTTTCACAGGACTACGCCGACCTTTGAGGGCCTGATGCTGAGGTGTGAGAGGTCCCACATTGGCCTGAGAGCACTGGAGGCTTTGATTATCAGTTTGACGCACAGGCGGTCTGACCCCTACAATATCCACAGCCCACAGGATCTCGAACCAGACTGACCATGACAAGCTGCTTTGAGTTTCTAAGTAATATTGTAATAAACTTACATCATGTAACATGGCTGTTAAAAACGAACCTAAAATATCAATAAGCAAGCTAAGAGCATGAATAAATATCAACAATAAATATCAACTACAACCTAGAGTCAGTATGCTTTGGCTGACTCTGATTCCAGCCAAAACAGTCAGCTCTGACCAGTGACCATTCAGGATCCAAATAGTGCACAAGTAGCTGACAGAAGTTTACAAAAACAACTTACCTGAGGCACCACCACATGTTTTGATTCTGAAATCCTCAAGTGGCTTCGGATAAGCATCAAAGTTTCTTAGTTTATCTAAAAATGATTTCACACTCATTTTGTGCTTGCAAGCCAATCCTGTTGCAACTCTGAAATAGTGTCAGCAATTATGTTTGTCAGTTCTGACGTGTCGGCCGGCCGGCTGCTGTGGCGAAGGGGAGGCAGACACGCCGGAACACATTCTGCTCCGCTGCCCAGCATTGATACAACTATGCCTACGGCACCTAGACAACATACACCCGAGGGAGGAGGAAGTCCGAAGCAGCGGCGGGGGATGGCGGCCCTGGGGCCGCCGCGAGGTACCTCCAGAGCCGTGAGGCTACGTAGCGGCCCTGCTACGTGGGGTCTCAACAACAACAACAACAACAACAACAACAACAACAACAACAACAACAACAACAACAACAACAACAACAACAACAACAACAACAACAACAACAGCATGTGTGACAGGGTACAGGCGAGGCCGGGATTCGGGATGCCGTGCATCTCATTGGCCCAGTGTCGGCCCAGTCGCGCCTTGAACTGAGCAACCGATGTGGCTGACACTACTGTGGGCGGCAGGGCGTTCCAGTCGTTGACGATTCTTGTGCTGAATGCATTTGTCAATGTCATGTTTCTCATGTATCGCATTATCGCAAAAGAATTCAGAATTCTTTGCGATAACGTGATATCGCAATATCAAAATCGCACTGGAAAATCGCGTAGTAGAGCCTAGGCTTAACAGCTGTTGGCGTACAGTAATATTCTATAGGTAGGTAATTAGGTAGATGGCATTGAGTGATAAAACCTGCAGGCCCTGTACAGGAGCAGCTGAGGGCTTCAGTCAGCAGTCCATACATTCTGATAATTTACAGCAGTTCCCTGTAAGAAAGGATGCTAGGACAATTGACCGAGGACTGCATTACAGTAGTAGCTGCGGTTCCCTGTACCCATCTCATGACATTAAAAGATCTAATACTTCATTATCTTGTCCCTGTATGCTGTTTTCTTTTTGTTTTGTTTTGTTGGGCTAGGCCCTTTCGGTCTGACAAGACCATTTCAGAGTTGGAACTCATGGAAGGATGATAGGAATTAGGGGGAGACATTGGCTGGGGCAGGCAACCTAGTGAGTCACTGGGGCTGAGCCCATCCCAAAGGACAGGCCAACCAGCCCCCCAAAGTACCTACTCACTACACGCGGCTAAGGGTGTGCTCCTCTGGGAGCAGGACAGCCGTGCCACTCCAAGGGAACGGCCTGCATGAGATCAAGTTGCCTGTCTAGTGTCTAGCCCGGACTGAGGGTCGCAGAATGAAGGAGAAGCATTTGAACCAAGGCCATCTATAGAAGGTAGTCACTTCCCCACCAACTAACCAGAAGCAGATCCTGAGGGCTGAGTGACACCACCCCTGATGAAGGCAAGGGGTACTCCGGTTCATTACAATGTTAAAATGCCCAACTTCATTTAAAAATTATTGCAGGCTCATAGCATAAGCACTATACATATATTGTGAAATCTGTAATGTCAATAGAAAGGCCAGCTTATTTCCTAGCCAGAAAAAAAACACCAATTCACTAAGAAATGGACAGTTTGAGGATATAGCCTAGGCATTTCAAAACCCTCTGCAGCAGAAGAAAAGCAATGTTTATACACTACACACACATCCATGATCCAGATAGTTTCACAATGCTTCAGCAATGTAACTTTTCGAAAATCAATGGGGTTGCACAATGCACCTAGTTGCTAAGAGCCCAATTTGTGCCCCAAACACCCTACAGTGTGCGGTGCCCGTGAATGCTAATTGCTAAATTATCATATCCTTGGCCTTGGGGATGCAGCTACAATGCCACTTAACAGTAAACTTACACTGATGAGATTGAGGGCTGTCCACAGGCCCTGTGTCCGGTTGGACCGTACGGCGTAACAGCCTCCAAGCTCGGCCCACTGCGTCCCTACGTCAGCCTTCCGTCACCACACACAACGACCGCTGTGGCAGGTCGGGACTGGCCACAGCGGACCGTCCACCGCACGCAGCAGTGACGTCAGATGGGTGTTCACAGGCACCGCACACTGCTGCGTGCGGTGTGTGCGGTGCGTCCAGCAGGCGTGGGGCTAGGGGATGGGTAGGCGGCTCTGACGTCATGGCTGCGTGCAGTGGATGGTCTGGTCCGCGCCACAGCGGTCGCTGTGTGCAGTGACGGAAGGCTAACGTAGGGACTCAGTGGGGGGAGCTTGGAGGCTGTGTGCGGTCCGACTGCACACAGGGCCCGTGAAAAGCCCTCAGAACCACCTACCCATCCCCTACCCCCACGCCTACTGGACACATCGCACACACCGTATTCAGCAGTGTGCGGTACCCATGAACATGCTATGTTGTTTGCTCATGCTATGTTAAAATCATTTTTCAATATATTTCTAGATATGGCATCATTTTAATCAATAACGATATTACAATATTTTTTTAGGTTAAAACTTACATTCCAAAAATGTTTTATAAAAATGGCAGCCATAGTCAAGTGAAGAAGCAGTCGTGAGACACTATTGTCCCGAGGCCCCTTTAATTTATAATCAAAAGTAGAGTGTCATCGGGCGGGCCTGATTTGAACCCTAATATCAATATACGGCCTTGATTTGAACATCCTGAGGAATGTGAGGATGAACATGACTAACGGGTGTGCCTTGGGTGTGCCTTGTATGCTCAATGCCCAGCGCCTTTATTCAAAAAGTACGCAGATTTATGAGGCTGAAAAAATGACAGAATTATTTACACTATAAAGTAAATCAAATTAACAACAAACAATGCTAATAAAATGGTAGACTCACGAAACTCGTTCAAGCGTATTCACCAGCCCGTGATTTTCTGTCGTCTTTCTTGACCGCAGTCTTTAATTGGTCAATGAAGTTGTTGCTTTGGCTGTTACTATGGCAATTTGAAGCCACGTCAGCAGAACGAAGGCCGCTAAACAGATTTGCAAAGCTAATGTATGTCGCAAATGCGCAGCAAATGTAGAAAATAAAAGAAGATTATTTATTAAAAACCGGTATTTTTATAAGCATAATGAAACAATCGCTTTCGTTTGGTTTCATAATTATTTTTTCTTTATATACTCTTATTCTATTCTCATACTTGTTCAAAAATCAAAAGGAAAAATAAATGAGTTGCCTGTCTCTAGCTTGCAAAATAACCAAAATAAATACATTTCTTTTGTGTTTGGAAAAATATTGATTTTGCATTTATTTAATAAAATGGATTTTTAACAGATTTATTCCATTTTTATTGTGAAATACAGATAAAATTAGTAAGCACGTTTGATAAATTTGTTCTCCGGAAATTCGACGGCCGCCATCTTTGTTCCTCGCTTGCGTTGTGCGCGTCGTCCATTGTGTGATTTTCGAACGTTTGTGTGGTGAGGGGAGCTGTAACTTGACGCTGATATTTCTTTAAGTGACATCCGGGTGGAATCTCTATAGTGCAGGAAGAGACATTGGGTCTTTCACCTGTGGTTCGAGAGGTTCGCATTTAGCAGGCTCCGCCGGGTCCTCAACCAGTGAACGTTTTTTTTTTGTCACTAGGTCCTGTTTGGTGTGGAACACTTGAGATGGCGTGTGTCACGTTGAAAAGGAGCTTGGATTTTGATCCATTCGGAAGTCCTGGAAGATCTCCGAAGAGAAGGCGGTGTATCCCCTTGTCTGTGACTCCAACTGCTGCTTCGGAACAGAAAGTCAAGCCCACACCCTTCCAGGCGGTTACGCCCAAAGTTTCTGCAGGTGGGTCACTCACTATTCAATTGTTTTCATGTGAGAAGAGATGTTCATATCTAGTTAGTTATTTTCTATGCCTTTTGTGTTTATATGCAATGTGCCTGAAACAACTGTCATACATTACCTATATTGTTGGCATTTAAACATAAAATATCTGCAGGCTCTTCATTTGGTGCATGCTTGAGGTGTTGTTGAGCAGTTGCTTTCCATTGTAATAACATTTCTGCATTTTCTGTCTTTTGGAACTCTCTCAGCTGCAGTATCCTCTGTACCTTTCAAGGTCAGATATGCAGATAGATTGCCCAGTTTTTTTTTACTAACCATGTGTAACATTATGTGTACTGAAAAATGGCAAGAAGGTACAGTACCTATTGAAGGATTAATACATTCAATCAACATTGTAGATCACTCCCCATTCAAAGTTATTCAGGCCTGCAGTCTAACAACCGGATGTTGTCTGCTGCCTAACTGTCTATGTTCATGTTCAATTTGTGATGATGCTTATATTTTGATTTGCTTGTGAATTGAAATAAGTGTTAGGTGATGCTTTTGTTAAGTCATTCTAAAGTATGATGCTGTTGGGATACCCTAATTTACTGACATGATTGCTAACATATTTTTGTTTCATTCCTAACTTTTATTTAGGTAGCTCACTCTTGCCCCCATCAATATTTTTCTGCCTTAAACACTGGTAATAAGTATGTTAGGGCAATAATTGAAGGCATTTTTCTAAATATACAGAGAAGAATAGATCTATTTTTAAAGATAAACTAGAAACAACACACCAGTACCATTTCATAGAACATGAATATGAAAACAGCAAGTTGACATTGGTGCATTCTTAATATATTTCACTCATGTACCAAGTTGTAGAACTTTTCATGGACTTTTTCCAAACCAGGGTTTGCCCTTGCAAAAACAACCCTTATCTCAGGCCCCATGACATGAATCAACTGTCAATCAATTTAATGGAGAGGCTTTTAGATTCTTAAATGCGAACTTTTAATGGTTTCACATTTGACTGTTTTGTGGCCCAACTGATTGTTTAGTGTTCATTCATCCATTTATTATTAATTGAACTAATAAAGTGCGATTAGATTCCTTTTTTACCAGATATCAGCGTCCCATTGAACCGTCACTGTTCCGCCGGCAGACATGATCGCGGCGAGCGTGCGAGACGAGATCCGCCGGCTGCACCGGCGCCGCCAGCTGCAGTATCACGGCGTCGACTCCGACAGCAGCAGCGACTCGGACACGCCCAGTCCGGCGTCGGCCGCCGCGCCCGCCGCCTCCGCCGCCGCCGGCTGCTCGGCCACCGCGGCGGCCACCACATCTAAGGCGGACAAGCCGCTATTCACCTTCAAACAGGTAGGAGAGGGGAGGGTTAGCAGACGCCGGCAGGGGTTTTGGATGGCCTTAGTAGTGTGGTGCAGGATGGAGGTGTACTGTAGCAGGCAGCAGCTGTCTTGCCAATTTCCTTGTAGTCGGCGCGCCCTTAAGCCCCAATAAACAAACAATGTCTTGCCAATTTTGTTGTTTCTTTCCAGTTATCGACGTCTGACAGAGCAGTATAACTAGACAAATGTCATGTTTTGCTAGCATTATGACTTTAAAAAGTGTCTGTCCTTCCTGAGTTCGGTAACATCGTGTAGCGGCGCTGACGTCCCTCCTCTCCGTCAGGTCGGCATGATCTGTGAGCGGATGCTGCGCGAGCGCGAGAACCACATACGGGAGGAGTACGACAACGTGTTGTCGACCAAGCTGCAGGAGCAGTACGACATGTTTGTGAAGTTCACACAGGACCAGATCGTCCGGAACTTCGAGAGCAGCGCGGCGCCCAGCTGTGAGTACCGTGTCCTGTTACCCCGTCAGCGGCGTTCCCAGCTGTCCGGCGCGGTAGCTAGTCCGTTCCGTTTAGTGCATGACTCACTCCCGGGATCAATATCAGAGAGGGACGGAGCTGGTGGCGGCTGTGGTCCGCCGCAGTCTGATCCAGCTATTCCGGGTATCGGCGCCATCCGATGGAATTACGGTGTGAAAGTCGAGCGTGCTCGACATTTCGGGACGCGGCCCAGCCCGCCCGGACTGACGTCAATATATAGCTCTGACGTCCCCCATACCGCCGCTCTCGGGTGATCCGGTACCGAGCGCGGCGCTTATGTAATCCGCCGGCTGTCGCTGGGTCATCGCGCCATGTGCCTGGGGCGGCACGTGGTCAACGGAGCTCAGCAGAAATCGGCAAATTGGTTTAAGAGGGTAATGTTGCATGCTTTAATGCGGGTCGGTGGGCGAAGCCCAACCGACCCGACTTATATGACGGGAGTAATAATATTCGACGAGTCTTCCTTTGGATTCTGTCCACGTTCAATGTTCAATACCATGTTCCGCGTTCAATGTTCCGTGCTCCGTCAGGTTAGATCGGACAGTCGCGGTGCGCGAGCTTTGCGATCGGAGGGCAGTGCTTTTGACCGCACCGGGGGCCTGTGCGCGGGCCTCCGGAATTGGAAACCGGGGAGCGGGGAGGGGAGAGCAGTTCCCGTTATTACGCTGGAGGGCGCCCGATAACCTGAAGTGTGGGACGGTATCAGCCAAACGGCCGTCTCTGACCTTTTTCGTCGTCCAGAAGACAAAGTTCGCGGCTATTTTTGCGCTGAATGTGGCATCGCGAGGCGTTTTCACTCGTATCCCCTTAACTTTTTCGCAGTTCATGTAATTTGAATGGATTTGTTAGAAATTAATTTGGAGCATTTTAGTATTAACCGGAACACCTCCTGGCCCACTCAGAATTCAGGGCTGCAGGATAAATCAGAACGCTGATTTTTATTGCTCAGGGGCATAACCATACGTCAACCTGTTAGTGTGTATGAAATTGGCATCGTTGAAAAAATTGATAGTTGATTTCTTTCTTTCCAGATCTATCTTAATGTGGCTTCTTGGAAGATCAGAACCAGGATTAAATAGATCTGCATCGTCGGAACTGTCTCTACCGTGTTACTGTGAAATTCCGGTGACTTGACTAGTGCCTATATCAGTTGACTTTACACTGGCAAGTGCGTGGGTGCCAAGAGCGGGCGGCTGGGCACCGCCGCCGACGAACTCCGAGTGGCTCCCGTGGGTGCGGAGGTGAGAGAGTGCGGTGATCTGCGCGCGGCGCGCACGTGCGCGTGCGGAGTGCAAGAGTGAGACCGTGTGCCAGTGCGAGTTTGGTTAACTCGTCTGGAAATCGCCAGAGGGCAACGTGATGACGCATTTTGTTTGGTTAGTTTTGTACACGGCCGACCGCTCTGTGATTTCATGTGTAAATCGCGTAGCTGTTGTTAGTCAGATACCCTACATAGCTGTTTAATCCGCTGCGTATACCTGTACATAGTGTGTAGCTTCTCTGGAAGTGTCAGGCGCTGAGTTGGTGGTAAAATTTGTGTGCTGTAGGACTTTGAGATAAGGATGGCAAATTAACGTTTTATTGCAGAATAAATCGCTTGGCATTACCGAAATCTTCTTCACGCGTAATTCGTGGATAACGTAGAAAAGTAACAATAAGCGCGCAGTTGCAAAAAAAACTTTGTCCCTACTCCGTACACGATTATTTGAACTCTAAAAATGTCGTTTAAGCGCCATTGAAACTCTGATAACACCGCTTGCACACGATTAAATCTGAAGAACATTGTTCTCGCACTGTTCAAACAAAAATATTAACTAGAACTGTCCTGAGCGGCTGACCGAGAGTGCTGCTTGGCTCGGCAGCTGTTGGGACCGCGGTCAGCCACCGTCTACTTTGCCGACGGGCGGGCTGGCGACGGGGACCGACTCGACTGCCGACGCGGCAGCTGCAGCCGCGTCTCGTGGTGCTCCGGCTTGGGCCAGCTGGCGTACGGCTTCCAGACGCTGGCGTCTTTGGTGCGCAGGTCGGCCCAGTACTCGAGCGTCCGCCTGTGACCGAGGGGGGAGGCGTTCAGACAAGCGCCTGCGGCCGTTCCGAAGAAGGGGGGAGGGGTAGAACACAAGCACCGACATGACACGGCGACATGGTGGCGTGGGAGCGGCACAGCTGCCGACAGACTGCGTACGGAACTGCCTACCGGGCGGCGGTGGATGAGGCGAGAGATAGCCCGTCAGAGCCGCCACCGTGCCGAATACGTGACATATCCGGCCGTGGGGACGACTGGTGGTGAATACGGGATGGGTGCTGCCACCTATGTGGTGGGGAGGGCGGCGAGACCGCCAGGAATGCCAATGATGGGACGGGGGCGCTGGGTACTGGCGGTCCTAGGGAACCACGGATCGACGCTGATCGGCGGGCTGCATGTTTTATATCCGACAGATAATTTATCCACGAAAGCACAACCAAAACTTAAGCAAAGTATGTCACAAATCGATTAACCAAGGCATGAACCGCAGCGATTATACGCTTACTTGACGTTGACGAGCATCTCGTTGGTGTTAGGCAGGCCTTTGGAGATCAGCTCGTAGGCCGGCATGCAGATGTACTTGATGAAGTTGATCTGGTCATTAGGCAGGTTGAGCGCCTTGGTACGGTCCATCATGGGGTCGGGCGTGGTACCCCGCTTCTTCTCGTTGTCTCCCTGGATGGTGGAAAGGGTCAGTGCCGGGAAAAGCTTACGGAGGACAGGAAACGAGTTCCGACGATACTGCCGCTAGTTCTTACTTACTACATCGTGCTGGAATTACATCCCACAATCACTTGAAACGCACGCAGCTGGTATGCGGCGCCGGTTCTTACACCCGTAAACCCTTACAGCCGATCAGGACGGTGGCGGTGGTGGGCACGGCTCGGCTTGGCTCAGCGGCGGCGGGTCGTCGGTCTGTCCCATCAGTATGCCGTCCGGAAGCCGACGGCCGATGAATAACAAACGAATCTCTGGTGTGGGGCGCTATAGCCTATACTTATCCTGATATCGCTGAAAGGCCGAGCTGCCGTTTACGTGAGAGCACTAAAATGACTGCCACCGGGGAATGTGAAAACAAAACGCCGACGTGTTTAGATAAATATTCAAAATCACAATGCATCCACAAAAGGGTACGTGCTACGTTGACTGGAAAGTTACGTAAGTCCGATAAACATGAAATTATCCACTCAACCTACCATACCGACCGTTCAGTTCATATCTGTCAGCCGCTTCACATACCTAAGTACAAATGCCTAAGTGAGGCAGCGCGAGCAGGGCCCAGAACGAGAAGGCATCACAGCAACGACTAAACGAAACCACACTGCCTGTCTGTCGCTGACATGATCACTGGTCACCCGTACCGCTCAGGCACTACCGTATATTAACCCCACAGCCGACATTGGTTGCCGTCGTCCCATTTCCACTGTCTGAGCTCAGCACTGGGCCTGTCTACTCGTACACAGGTGCCGTCTGTCAGACTAGCTCAGCCACACGTGTGCCTCCTCACCTGCTCGTGGAACTCGACGTACAGCTCGAGGGTATGTTCGAGCACCACCTCCGGGGCCTTACAGACGGCCGACAGGTCACAGGCGGTCATCATCACACTGCAGAACCACCGTCTGACGTACAGGGAGGGGGGGGGGAGACACACAGGTCATCATCACACTGTAGAACCACCGCCTGGAGAGTACAGGGAGGGGGGGGGGAGACACACAGGCGGTCATCATCACACTGCAGAACCACCGTCTGACGTACAGGAGGGGGAGACACACAGGCGGTCATCATCACACTGTAGAACCACCGTCTGACGTACAGGGAGGGGGGGGGGGGGAGACACACAGGTCATCATCACACTGTAGAACCACCGCCTGGAGAGTACAGGGAGGGGGGGGGGGAGACACACAGGCGGTCATCATCACACTGCAGAACCACCGTCTGACGTACAGGAGGGGGAGACACACAGGCGGTCATCATCACACTGTAGAACCACCGTCTGACGTACAGGGAGGGGGGGGGAGACACACAGGTCATCATCACACTGTAGAACCACCGCCTGGAGAGTACAGGGAGGGGGGGGAGACACACAGGCGGTCATCATCACACTGCAGAACCACCGTCTGACGTACAGGAGGGGGAGACACACAGGCGGTCATCATCACACTGTAGAACCACCGTCTGACGTACAGGGAGGGGGGGGGGGAGACACACAGGTCATCATCACACTGTAGAACCACCGCCTGGAGAGTACAGGGAGGGGGGGGGAGACACACAGGCGGTCATCATCACACTGTAGAACCACCGTCTGACGTACAGGGAGGGGGGGAGACACACAGGTCATCATCACACTGCAGAACCACCGTCTGACGTACAGGGAGGGGGAGACACACAGGTCATCATCGCACTGCGGAACCAACGTCTGGAGAGAGTACAGGGAGGCAAGGACGGTATCAGCCGATGGTTCAAGCGGCGGTGAGCGAGGGAAAGAAATAGACAAAAAAGAGTTTCGTCCCTGACCCGTGTTCCGTCTCTAACGTATGTTCTGTCTCTGCCCTGTGTTCCGTGTCTGACATGTGCTCCATTTCTGCCCTGTGTTCCGTGTCTGACATGTGCTCCATTTCTGACCTGTGTTCCGTGTCTGACGTGTGCTCCATTTCAGCTGACCTGTGTTCCGTCTGGTGCATGTTGAACTGGCCGGTCATGGCCGACTCCAGTTTCGGCCGAACTTGGAAGTACACGGCGAGGTCAGTGGCGATGATCGCTTCGTACATCAGGTCCAGCACCTGAGGGGATGAGTCAGAGGTCTGATCAGGTCAGAGGACAACTGTGTATGTACGAGTACTACGGAGTACATCCTCATACTCGTACATACATCTGGTCCGGCATCTGAGGGATGCCGGATGTCGGTCAAGTAGTTCGGCTGGTACACTATTGCATGGGAAATACTTGAGCTCAGACATCGTTCTCAAAGATGGACATTGCAGCTGAGGGAGCTGAGCTCAAGTGACTGGACGTCTTCTCTGACTGAGAGAGATACGACCATCCAGCGCTCGTGGAACAGAAGCGCCACCTAGTGGCGAACGACGGACCAGTCGCAAAACTGCTCTATCATCAGACGAACACAAATATATCGCTGAAAAATGAATACACAGAAAACGATACCGTAACGATCGATAAGCTGGACGGTGTAACGGCGACAGTGCCGGATTTTCTGCAAACCGCTCGGGGTCACGTCAGCTTTATATTGCAATTCAAAGGGACAGCAACGATAATTGCGCCGTTGCCCATGAAGTAAAGAGTCGTTCCATATCATCTACCGTTCCTTATGAAGAAATAGTATGAATCGCTCTAGCGAGGAACATCTTGATATATGTAGTTAGACTTTCAAATGACCTTTTCCTCGATAATTAATTGAGAATGCAATAAAAAAACAAATATTATATTGTTTGGCAAATTTTCGAACAACAGTTCATTCTCAAGCCACATGAAACAATTGACAACAATTGTCAATAATTGACAATTGTTGTCAATTGTTTCATTATTGTCAACAATTGTCAATTGTTTCATGTGGCTTGAGAATGAACAATGACTTAATTCATTGACTTAACAATGACTTAATGTCGATTCATTGACAATTGTTGTCAATGAATTGACAACAATTGTCAATTGTCAACAATTGTCAATTGTTTCATGTGGCTTGAGAATGAACTGTTGTTCGAAAATTTGCCAAACAATATAATATTTGCTTTTTATTGCATTTTTAATTAATTATCGAGGAAAAGGTCATTTGAAAGTCTAACTACATATACCGTTCCTTATGTTCACCGTTCCGTCCATCCGTCTATCGATATAACCGTCCACAATTATAACGCGCCGATCCGTCTGTACGCAGTACGCACCTCCTTCCTGTCGGCTGCCGTCAGCCCGGCCAGGATGTCGTGCCCGGGCCGCTGCAGCACCGCCGCCGCCGTGGCAAAGTGGTGGTTCTCCATCACCGACGCCTTGTAGAGGCCGCCCAGCGGCGTGGCCGCCTTGGCGTACGTGTTGCTGTAGCCGCGGTGGTCGATGTCGTGGCAGATGCAGGCCACCAGTAGTGACAGCAGCTGGATGGGGAGAAGGGATAGGTCAGGATCTGGGAGGATGGGGTGACTCGGAACAACGGGGATTGAGGGCACGGGAGGGTGTCAGGTTTCACACGGGCAATGAAACGGGGCTAGAGACCTGTCGCAAAGAAGAAAATGAGAGTAAACGTTGGCAAGTTCGGGATCGCATGATTGCAATGGCAATTAGTGTGTTTGCCAAGAGACGTGTGCGACACGATAGCGTGGCCGACGGATGAGACCAAAATCTAAAGATTTCTCAGCCAGTGTATTAAACAATCCTGCCTTATAAACGCCGTCCTCCCCTCCCCCCTCCCCCCTCTGCCGACCTCCAGCCGGCTGAAGACGTTGGTGTTCCTCTTCAGGATATTGTACATGGTGTGCGCCACCATGAAGGCGTGCGTGGCGTTGTGGTAGGCCACGCGGCGGTACGACTTGATGACCGTGGTGGTGAAGGTAACCACCCGCTCCGGGGCGCCGCCGCACGCGCCCTCGCCCAGCAGGTCGAAATACATGTGCAGGTAGAGCCGACTCAGGTCGTGACTGGGCTCGGGCGCCCAGCGGAACCTGGTCGGAGTGGGACGGGACAAGGGACAGGAGGCATGTCAGGAAACTGGATAAAAACAGTTCAGGTAACACATGATCAGGAACCGGGTAGTATTGATGCCTGTTGGGAAAGGGAAGCGAAGCAAGAAAAACAGTGAGCCCAGACATGACGGATATTGGGAAGGGGCGGCAGTGGCGAGCTGGAAATCTGAATGAAGAAGTTGCGCGAGTTTCAACTAGTCACGAGTATTAACCAGCCCCGCCGCCGCACCGCCGACGACTTGCCGTTAACATCCCGCTGATCCCGAGCGGCGTCAGTGCCGCGCCAGAGGAGCGCACCAACTCACGTGTCGAACGAGTCGGGGATGGAGGCCGGCAGTGGCTGCTCCATGTACTTCTTCAGCTCCGCCGGCGAGGCGGTCGTGTGGTACTCCAGGGCGTCCAGGGCCACGCTCAGCTGATTGTCCTGAGGTCAGGTCAGGCCACGTGACTTTCGGTCGGGCAGAAATCTTCGCAACCCCCATTTATTTAGGATTTTAGAAATAATTGCCGGTAAAATGACATGGATTAAAATTATTCATAGGAAGTCTAACAAGCAACCCATCAATTGAAGTCACTGATCCCATTTCCGTTATATCGGTTTCCTGTTTACGAGCCACTGTAAAAACCGGTCCCGCCGCTCTATAGTAGCCGACCGGTCTGGCCTGGTCTGGTTTGGTAGCGCTGTGACACCTGCGTGCATACCTTCTTTTGACCTCGCTCGTGCAGTGCGCCAAACGAGAGCGCCAGCGAGCAGTAGATGCCGAACATCTTCAGGGAGGCCTCGTCCGTCTCCGAGAAACAGTCGGCGTCTGGCGCACAGTAAAGACACACAGTGAGTCAATCTTACGACGACGCAAATTAATTGCGAAGTAAGCAGTGTGGCCCAAACGCCCGTCTAGGAACTCGCCATACGTATTAGGCCCGGGCAGCGCTTTTCGAGTAGCGTTGCGGATCCGAAGGTTGGAACTTAGAACTATAAAAATACGCCCGCCCGCCGCCAAACGCAAACGGCGCAAATAACTCGTCATACGCATTACTCAGCGTCGAATATAAACAACGCGTGTGTTTGTGTCCTGTCCACCCCGCGTGCCATTTTCTCATCCTCATGTCGAGCTTACCGAGTTTGTTGACCACCTGCAGGACGCCAAGCAGACGGTGCTGCGCCTTCACGGGCACGGCCAGCAGGCTGCGCGACCGGTAGCCCGTGCTGCGGTCCACCTCGGCGTTGAAGCGCGGATCCGAGTAGGCGTCCTGCACGTTCACCACCTGGCCCAGCCGGGCGCAGTGGCCGGCGATGCCGCGCTCGGCCGGGAAGCGGATCTCGTGCCGCTTACTGAGCACCGGCGAGCCGTTGATGGTCTGTCGGAGGACGGAGAGTGGAGATGGTTTAGCGGTGGACGATAAAGGATGAGAGGGAGGGAGGGGGCGAGGGCGACGGAGAGAGAGAGAGAGAGAGAGAGAGAGAGAGAGAGAGAGAGAGAGAGAGAGAGAGAGAGAGAGAGAGAGAGAGTGAGTGAGTGAGTGAGTGAGTGAGTGAGTGAGTGAGTGAGTGAGTGAGTGAGTGAGTGAGTGAGTGAGTGAGTGAGTGAGTGAGTGAGTGAGTGAGTGAGTGAGTGAGTGAGTGAGTGAGTGAGTGAGTGAGTGAGTGAGTGAGTGAGTGAGTGAGTGAGTGAGTGAGAGAGAGAGAGAGGGGGGGGGGAGCTAAAAAAGAAGGGTGGACTGGGTCACGCATTATGGTTCCACACCGCATGCTGGCACCTTCGGAGCCGGAAGGAGACCATATTTTCTCTATCATCTGTCTGAAGAGCACTGACAGCGTAAGTCATGCCACCACCTCCCCCACCACAGACATCACGTTACACCCACCTGTCCGTCATCGAACAGTGAGGCGTACAGCTCGTGTTTCTCCTCGTCCATGGCGAAGAAGGTGACGCGCTCGGCGGCCACCAGCGCCTTGGCCTGCAGCATCACCTTGGAGATGAGCGCCTCCTGGCCGAATGGCTCGTCGGAGAGCGCGCTGGCCACCTCCAGCAGGAACGAGTTGAGCTCCTGCTGGTGCTGCAGCACCTCGCTCAGCTGACGACGGAGACGGAAAGGGGGACGGGGTGTAAAGCGACGAAAGATAGAGGTCAAAGTGGCAACTGGGGCGCGGGTACTGATTGTGACAGATAAAAATCGGCGTAGCTTTAAACACCTTAAGAGTTAACAAAGTTCACGGTTAGACACAAGGTAACTGGATACGCGACCGGCTGGTGCTGACTACGACCCCCGGTTCTTCCGTGCATCCTACGGCCGGCACCTGCCCACCTGTAGCCGGTTGATGGCGATGTTGAACCACACCAGGATGGCGTTCACGGCCTCCAGGTGGCCGGGCTCGAACGGCTCGTGGTGCACGCCGCGGCGCAGCTCCAGTACCGCCAGACCGGGCAGGGGCACCACCAGCGCCGATCGGTCCTGGGGATATGAACAGCACAACACTATATGGTACCACTACTACCACCATCGCCGACTGGTCCTGGGGAGGCTACAGCGCACAGGCCTACAGGGTACAGCACTGCATCACAGACCCTCTGTACCACCCTCTGACGTATCATAGGTAGCACTCAGAGCCGATCGGCCCCGGGCAGGGTACGGGGTAGAGAACCGCAAGGCAACATATGGTGCCACCAGCGTCGCCACCGACCCTTGTGACTGGGAGAGTAAAATACACCGTATGTATAGTACTTATACCGTATCACACGGTACCCCAAGGAAGCACTAGGGCCTATCGGTCCTGAGGGCGGGGAGGGTACATGGTGGTGGTCCCGCCCTCGAAAATTGATCCTTCTTATCAATTATCAGGACACGTCACGGCTTATTTCTCAAAACCCGTCCCCTTGTCCCGGGATGGAATGTCACTGCTTTGATGGACGATCATGATGTACAATCGCTGTTATTCGACGTGAGTAGATTCTCTCAGACCATACTCCGTTGCGGAGCCGGTGACCGTTAGCGCAGCTGAGTGGCCTATCCCTCGGGCCGAACACCGCCGCGGCAGCGCACTATGGTGGCCGCCCGTACCAATTACGCTCCCCTTCTATCCCCCCCCTCCTCTCCCAGATCCTGATATCCGATCCCGAGGCCCTGAAATGCAGATATCATTAGACTCAAAGAGCGTATCCCAGCAAAACCAAATAATTGATGGTCTCACTACACTAAAAAAATCGGATCGTACAAAAACAAATAAGCAGGCGACAGCAGACAAAGAAACAGACAGACAGACAGACAGACAGACAGACAGACAGACAGACAGACAGACAGACAAAAAAAAAACAAGCAAAGTCCCGACTTTACCTTGAAGTCGTAGTTCACCATGCACCCTGACAGGCCCACCACTCGGCGCACAGCTACCAGCCAACACCTACCTTTTCGGAGACGCCCGGCCCGAATCCGTGCGGGAAGCGTTTGTCGCAGGTGATGGACTCGACGGTGAGCGATTCGCCGGTGGCGGCGGCCAGCGCCGACGGCGTCTCCCGGTCGACTGGAGGCGCCGGGAGGGGGGGGGGGGAGGTCACCAGAGGAGGGGAGAGGTGGGGATGGGAGGGAGGACTGACGGGGTGGCGACGAGCGACCGACCGACACCGGAGACCGGCCGGCTGTGTAGACCGGCTATTGAAATGAGAGTGGAGTGAGAGGACAACATACGAGGATAATTCGTAGGTGCAGCTAAATACTAAATACACATCATCATCCTCCCAAGGCATCTACTATTCAGTCGCGAGTTTGAACTAGCCCACCTATTTTGATGGATGCCTTTGTTTGGACGAAGTCGTCCCGGCCCGGTGTGTACTCGATGAGGTCGTTCAGCTTGGAGTCGATCAGGAACAGGGTGAACCCTGCGGGACAGGTCAGGTCACGGTTTCTTCTATTTACGCCGCAGTAGATAAATATACGGACGTTTATACTCACGGCAGTACGAAATCTTTATTTACGCGCGGTTAGACAGTAATAAAGCCGTATTTACGACCAAGAAAACTTAGCTACAAGTACGCCGGCCGGGGGCAATGTGTACGAACTGCTGCTCACCCATTTCACTGACACTGGCAATGATAACAACTGCCCATCCCGCAAAAAAAACACCAAGATTATTCCAAATCGAGCAAGCCATATGTTCAGAATAAGCCCAGCCGAGTGGATTGAGCATACGTTTCGCTTCCGTCCGATACTGCTAATTTAATTGCTAAGAAAAATTATCAATGAGCGGCGAAAAGTAAACGTCTGCGTCGGCTCGTATTTAAAATAAAATAGAAATCCTCCAGCGCATCGGCGACGATAGATATAGCCTACCCTGCCCCTCCCCCCCCCCCCTGTCTCAACATGAGCACACATGGATAGCGAATTGCCCGACTAGGCGCCCCCTCCCCACATACGAGAGGGGGGCACACAACTCCCCCCCCCCCTTCCCGACGTACCATCGGCGCCGACAGCGACGGCGGCCACCCTGGCAAGCTCGTGCAGCAGCCGGGGCGTGTGGTCCGGGTGCGAGGCCTCGTCGAGCAGGTGGCGGCGCAGCGTCTCGGCGGCCGCCTCACCGTAGGTGCTGTGGTGGCCGGCCGGAGCGACCAGCGTGCGAACCGCCCCCGACGACTTGGCCGACAGCCAGCCCTGCGGCGCCGCCGGAGAGGAGGTGGGTCAGGACGGCGGGGCGGAATGGATTGTCTGGATGGGTGGGAATGGCAGGTGAGGTTTTGTGAGAGTAAGATGGCGTAATAAATTTTATGAGCGGGTGTATGATTTATCAGCCATCAGGATTAGCATAAGGGTAGCAATTTATGTATATTTCTATAGCGACAGAAATTCATCACCGTCCGTCACATGTCACTTCGGATAAATATTGAGCTCGAAACGTGTTACGAATTTCACCTAAACAATCTAGAGGGATGTAAAGGCCTTAGATAGGCGGATAAAGGCATAGTGATCGGAAATAAATTAGCACAAACCTTGATAGTTGGAACGTCGACATACTCCTTGACATAGTGAGAGATCGTCTCTGGGTTAGCGTTGAGAAACTGCACGACATCGTCTTCATTTATGGCGTTGAACCGTACTGAAAACGGGAAACAATCACGCACGATACGTCGCTGCAATGGCTGCAGAAACTAAAGACATTTAAGAATAATTTAGCCAGCAATATCGTGAATTGACGTCAATCCTTTCTGCCGGTGAATGGCGGGTCGATCGACAGCATTGCCACTTTGATAATCGAGAAGCCCACCTGTTCTTTTTTTCTTCTTATCTTACATATCATATTTGACTTCTAAGGAATGGAATACGTTTGTCATGCAATGCGCTTATAAGTTGTTCACTGAAGTAATCACGTCAGCGTATAATCCAGTACATGTTAAATAGGCCTACGAAACGAGTTATTTGGATGGATTTTCGCGACCCCTCCCACTAGCAACGAACACACCAGCAACCTGGAACGGGCCCTCCTTCGGCCAGCAGCTCGGCGACGCAGGAGGCGTCCAGGCACGTGGGCGCGCAGAGCGCACCTGCCGAGGCCAGCGGGCCCATGCTGGCGCTGGGCAGCAGGCCTGACTGCGACTCGGGCAGACCGCTCGACTTGCGGCGCACCGGGTCCGAGAGGCGGCGCACGGTGTCCGCCACCGAGCCACGCTGGGTCACCGGGCCGCCCTCCTGGGCCCCGCCGGCGGCCGGCGCCGCAGCTGCGGACGGGCCCCCGGTCGTCCGCGCCGCCGCACCAGTCCTGGTCGCTTCCGTCGCCCGCGACGAAGAGAAGACAGCTTGCAACTGGCTGCGGGAGGCCAGCTCGTTCTGCCAGGCGGTGTCGCGGCGCGAGCGCAGCAGCGACCGCTCAGACTCCTGAAGGAAGTTGCTGCCGCGTTTGGAGCGGGAGTACATGGCGCTCGGGAGACGGAGATGCGACCCGATGTCCCGTCCGCACAGCACTGACGTCAGACGATGACGGGGCGTTATGCCGTCCGAGGTAGGTTCGTCTGCCGCCCCTCAGAGGGTCTGCGACCTCATCGCCTGGGTGCATCAGGTGTCAGGTGATTCAGTCAAACTACTGCTGCAAGAGGTTCGAAATGGACACCTACTGATGACGTGCCGCATAGAAATGGATGCCGAGGAAGAGATGAATCAGAATGGAGCTTGGGAAGATTTCGATATGATCTCAATCTGGATAAACTGGTAAACAGGTACCTAAGTACCTAGTACCTTCATGACCGGTGATTCGTTCCAAAGTTTGTTTTGGTGTCGGCAATTACCTACCTATCCAATGTGAAAGGCTGTGAATGCCATGGATTTTATCCAAGTCGGCAAACATCTGGCAAACATCGCTTGTTCTGAAAGGCTTACTTTCAATTTATAAGCCCCGTGAGTATAATAGAAGTAACCAGAAGTAACTACGCGACTATTATAGAAGTAAATATAAGCAACCGCTGGAAAATGAAGCAAAATGCAATGCATGATAAACTTGCTTACCGTTCAATGTTGCTCGGACGAATTACAATTATGATTATTATTCAGTGCTCGTCTGGTGGATTTCAATTTGCTTTCTGACGCTGACAAGTCCACGCTTTATCATCAAATAGGGATGTGAAACATGTGTAATGCTCAAGGAAAGATCAGTAGAAACACATTAAGCACATTAAATAGACATGAAACAGAATGATTTTACAGGAAAATACAAAAGTTTTTGGTTTACTTGCTCAATTCCGTTCCGCCGTGACAAAAAAAAAAAGACGCACACGGCACACGAATCTGCACGAATCGAAATAACAAATTCAAGGTTATCGAATTCTTTGTTTACGTTTGAATTACCCGCCAATCTGCGCTAGAGTATGACGTCATGTGTTGTTGGTTTGCATAGATATACAGACTATGTTGGTTTGTCTATCTTGAATAATCTCTCGGTTTATGTTGTCGTACTACGCTGTGGGTAGCGCTTGGCTGGACGGACGGTCTGTGACAACCTATTGATCTGTGGCTGATCTATTAGAGTGTCCGTCCGAGAGCCGTACGACGGCTGACAGAGCCTGGGGGTCGCGAACTGGTGTGGTAACCGTTACGCCCACCTGGGACGCCCGAGTCGGTACGGCACTTGCGGTGTCGTAACCGGATCGGCGGGAACCAGCAGAACGCTGTTGGACCGGCGGTGAAAGTCGGAACCGAGCACTCGCCCACCAGTGGGGCGTCTGGTCGAGCAGGTCTACCCGCTAAGGCAGCCTGAGCACGAACCAGTGGCAGGGTCCGATCAATGACCGTGGTCCGACCAGGGTGTCAGCGCAATGGCCAGTCAGAGGCGTCTTTAAGGGCGCGGAAGCCCACCTCGGTCGACTGTGGCCGGTGCAACCTAGTCAGGTCGTTTGTGTGAATCTCCGTGTTCTTCCCTCGCCTCAGAGTAGCCGCTCTTCTCCAAATGCCCGAGCCGTTTTCTATGTGTATTGGTCTTGCAGCGAACAGCAGAGTCGAAAAACGAATTGACAATGTCGCCGAAAACCGCGGTCACATGCTGGCCGTTCCTAGTACTACCAATATGCCCGCAGGCGCGGCGAGAGACAAGCTTAACGTATGAGTCACCGTCCGGCTGCCGGGAGAGCCCCTACCGCGACCTTTGCTCACAGTCATGACGTCACGACAATGGGCTCCTAAACGTACGGGCAGCGGCCGCCTCAGGGGTGCCGCCGTGACCTTTGCACGAGGACACTTGCTGTGACGGGGGCGGTTCGCCACGTTACAGCGGTGGGCGCACACGGTTCGCCGTGCTATCCGCGCACCAACTGGTGCCGGTCGCCTCTGCCTGGCCTTCAGCCCTATATGCTTAGCTAATTAGGTAGGTCATATAGGGCAAGGTCGACTTTTTCATCTTTCCTATCACCCGCTCTTCGGGAGACTCTTATTCTCCCCCCTCCCCCATCGCTCATCTTTCCTCCTCGCGGTGAGTCGGGTTTTCCGCGGTAACCGGCAAGCCGGCCCGCTCCGCCCAATTTTTTTTATATTTTTTCATCAGTAATCTTTGACATAGTCTCAAGTCAGACCGTTCCGGTCATGTATCGGCAGGGGGAGGATCCCCCTGCCATCCTCGAACTTAACGACAAACCGCCGGAGGGAGCTTGCTTCCTCCTGGCAACCAAAAAAGACAAGTCCACGGACTTTAAAAAGACTAATCCCTTCGCTCTCGCCCGCGAAGTTGACCGGTTGCTCGGCCCCGTTCTGGACGCTAAGCCGATCCGGTCGGGAGCCCTCCTACTAAAGACCCACAACCTAAACCAGACTAAAAAAGCACTCGCGACCCAGTCCATCTTGGGTCAAGATGTCAACGTGCAAGTGGCGGTGCACCTAAACAGTGTGCACGGCGTGATCCGCAGTGAAATGCTGTCGGACATGACCAACGCCGATCTGCTGAAAGAGCTCGCTCCCCAAAAAGTCATCCGGGTGCAGCGAATGCCATCAAGGAACCTCGCGACGCGAGGACCAAACCCTACCATCAGGGTCAGCTTCTCGGGCACAGAGCTCCCCACCCACATCCAGTGCGGGTATGCCCGAGTACAGGTGGATCCCTGGGTCCCGCCCCCGCCCCTGTGCCAAAATTGCTGGGCAAATCACCCCACCCGACACTGCCGCCGCCGTAACCCGCTGTGTGGCAGGTGCGCGGACGAGCACCCGACAGACCACTGTGAGGCCGCGAGCTGCACCTGTGCCCACTGTGGCGGTGATCACCCTGCCTGGGACAGACGATGCCCCATCCGGCGGTATTCCGCCGAACTTCATCGGACCGAACAGGCCCGCGCCCGAGAGGAGCATCATGCTCGCGGGCCGCGGTTCAACCGCCCCATCTGGCCCCCGGAGGAACAAGAGTTCCCAGAGCTGCCGGCACGCGCCCAGCGCACGCAGCAGTGGCTCGACCCCAACCGGGAAGAGCAACCCAACCAAGGTCGCAGGGATGAGCGCCCACAGCGCCAACCCATTCGAAGCGACAGAGCCGCTGAGCCACCTCTGACGAACACCCGGCAGGAGCACGCTAAGCGAGCTCCAGGTCACAGGGACGAGCACGCACAGCGCCGACCCATTCAAAGTGGCCCAAACGCAGCCGGCCCTCAGCCAGCTGTCGCTCACCCGACCCGATCAGAAAAGTCCGAGCGCGCAGAGCACGCTCAAACTCCCAACTCCGAACAGGGGCAGTCTAGCCTGACTCCCGACCCGCGCCATCCTGCTGACGCAAAGAGCGCAGCGGCGCCACATGCGCAGGAATCCGGAAAAGAGATAACTGCGCATGCACCCCCCGTAGCGACTGAAAGTGTCGCTACACTGAAAAAAGGGGACCAGCTGGGAAGCCCGGCGGAAACGGAGTCCCCTTTCAACTCCCCAATCTCAGAAGCCTCAACAGTGGAACACGAAATCAGTGTCACTGAAGAGGACGTGAACTCAACAATAACGGAGATCCAGTCGCCCCTTGACTCAGAGCAGTCTTTGCGGCTGCGTAATCGCACAGTCTCCAGGTGCAGCTCGCGGACCTTATCCCCGTCCACCACCCAGAGCTCCCCGGTTCTCCGTCAAACCACGCTTTAAAGTTTTCTAACCACTAACATGGGTAGCATCAAACAGGAATTCATTCTCCAATGGAATACAAGCTCGCTAGTATCCCATTGGGGAGAATTCCGAGAATATATGACCGACAAAAAACCATTGATAGCCGCAATACAAGAAACCCGCTTCCTTGATTCAGACGCTGAGAACTATTCTTTTACTTTGCCTGGTTACTCAGCCTACTTCAATAACGTAAATGAACAACCCCGCCGAGGTGGCACGGCACTTTATATATCAAATAAGCTTCTCCACTATCAATTTAACGTAGACTCGACGCTTAATTATGTAGCAACTAATGTTCAACTTGCAGAACAAAGTATTAACGTAATATCAGTTTACCTTTCTCCAACTAATGTTATCCCTAGTGAAGAAATTGATAAGTTTTTTGAACAACTACCTACCCCGACCCTCATACTTGGTGATTTTAATGCTCATCACGTAGCCTGGGGCTGCTCCACAAACAACACTCGCGGAAACATACTCAACACCTTACTTGACCAGCATCAGCTTGTCTTTCTCAACGACACTACTCCAACACGCCAAAGTCTTTCAATTGAGAGACATACCCAGTCAGTAATTGACCTCGTTATATCAACACCTAGAATAGCGCCTATTTTTAAACCAGAAGTTCAAATTGATACTTACTTTAGCGACCATTTTCCCATTCATATTATGATAGGAGCACCTTCAATACAACAAGAATTGTTTATGCCAAAATGGAGATTTAAGAAAGCAGACTGGAATAAATTTAGAGAATACGTTGATGAGAATCTAATTGAAACCGAAAATGAATGTATTGAAATAAATCAAATACTTAACGTAATATCACAAGCTGCTTTTGACAATATACCCCGTAATATAGGTCGGAAAGATCAAAAACACGCACCTTGGTGGAACGATGACTGTAGGAAAGCGGTAGCCCGGAGACGCAGAGCGTTGCGGGCATTCCAAAGACATATTACGCCTAGATACGAACAGGAGGCTAGGCAAGCTAGATATGATGCTAAAATGACAATCCTTAAAGCAAAACGTGAGGCGTGGGAAGAATTTTCCAGTAAATTTAACAGATTTACCCCCCTTAGTGAGATATGGAACCTTATTAGATGCTTTAAACTCAAACGTAAACCTAACTTTAAAATACCTCATCTCTCAATTGAAAACATACAATACACCACACCTTACGACGTCGCAAACCAGTTTGCAGCCCATTACGCTCGAGTATCAGCACACAACATCTACACACAGCAACAACACAACACTCTCAACAGCATACTTTCAACACTCCACTTCGAATCTGACAACACAGAGCATTACAATCAACCATTTGTACTAAAGGAGCTTCAATTTGCCATCAGCAAATGCGGTAATACTTCAGTTGGTCCAGACCTACTAGCCTACCCCTTTTTTCGAAATCTTTCAGAGTCTGGACTTGAAATATTTCTTAGTGCAATAAATAAACTCTGGGAAGAAGGTAGCTTCCCTGATACTTGGAAAGATGCCACGCTTATCCCCATACTAAAATTCGGAAAAGATCCAAAGGATCCCTCCAGTTATCGCCCCATTTCTCTATGTAGTTGTGCCTCAAAAATCCTAGAAAGAATGGTGAATAGTCGAATTAGAGTTTACATTGAATCAAACAATAAACTTACAAACTGTCAAAACGGCTTTAGGCCTGGCCGATCCACGTCCGACGGCCTAGTTCATATAATTGACTCAGTACAGCGCGGATTTCAAAACAATAACGTAACGGTAGCACTATTTCTCGATCTTAAGGCCGCCTTTGATAAAGTACATCATTCTGCCCTCTTAATTAAATTACACCAAATGGGCGTTCGCGGCCTTCTCGCCACTTACCTCCGAAATTTCATTAGTAACCGAACCTTCTCTGTTAGGTGTGGCGTAGCACACTCAGTGCGCACATCACAAGAGCATGGAATACCTCAGGGTAGTCCGCTCTCACCTACACTTTTTCTGATGCTTATTAATGATATTTGCAAAGATCTCCCTAGTATTTCTTCTAATATTAAGTTTTCTCTTTACGCTGATGATCTGGCGATATGGTTTTCACACCCCAGCGTAGATAGGGCAAATGAATATATCCAGTTAGCTCTAAATCTGATCCAAGAATGGTGCTCCCGATGGGGTGTGTTTATTTCCCCTGCAAAATCAGCTACCATGATTTTCTCAACGCAGCGTCTGCAC